ACTTCCACTCCAAGAATTCCTTAGAATTCTGGGAATTGAAGTCCACACATCTGAAAGCTGCCAGAGTGAAGAACTACTGTCTTAGAGAGTCCAAATAGGAGGTGAATAGAGGTCTACAAGCTTCTGAGTTGCACCTTGTTTTAGATCTTTGTTTTTGTAGGCCAGAAGTTGTGAAGGATGTGGGCCAGGTATTCATAAGTTTATCTCCAATCCAATGCTTCTATCTCCGGTTTTGTTGATCCAGTGGGCCATAGGATTGGAAAAGAATGGGCTCAAGAGTTGGTTTTTGTTTTCCCTGGCTGAAAGATTCACTCCAGGTCCTCCACAACGGAGGTTTTTAAGAAGAGATTGGACAGCCATTTGTCTGAAATGGCGTAGGGTTTCCTGCTAAACGGGGTTGGACTAGAAGACCTCCAAGGTCCTTTCCGACTCTTGTTACTCTGTTTTTCCTCCCAGCATTGCAAATCCAGGAGGCGGGTCCCGACCTAGCCGGCTCTGTAAGGCCGCCATGTTGAAATCCTTCAGGAAGGTGGCCCAGGAGATGAAGAGGGAGGACCTGATGTTGCTATCCATGTATCATGAAGCCAAGGTGAACCTTTGACTCTGATCTCCATCCTTCAGGTCTCTCCACAGGAATGGTTTGATTGTGGTTTAATGCATTGTACACACAATCCCACCTTTGGTGGACTTAATTCAAGAAACTATGGTTAAGCAAATGCTTGTACAGTTTTCACCGGTCAGTATGAGTCCTTTGCTTGCTTCTTGATTTAAGGTGGATCTTAAATCAACATTCCTCCTAGACTATGTTTCTCAAACCTGGTAATTTTAAGAAGGGTAGACTTCCTCTCTTTGAGGTGACCTAATTCAAGAAATCATGATTAAACAAATGCTTGTATGGTTTTCACCTGTCAGTGTGAATTCTTTGTTTGTTTCCCGAGTCAAGGAAGGTGGACCTCAGATTGAGTATCTCTTGAACTTTCCTCCTAGTGTTTCTCAAACTTGGCCACTTTAGGAAGGGTGGACTTCCTCTCCTTTGGGGAGGAAGGCTAATTCAAGAAACCATGGTTAAGCAAATGCTTGTACAGTTTTCACCAGTCAATGTGGCCTTTTGCTTCTTGGATCAATGAAGGTGGACCCCCAAATTGAGTATCTCTTGAATGTTCCTCTTAGATTTCTGTTTTTCAACCTTGGCCACTTTAAGAGGTGTGATCTTCCTCTCCCAGAATTCCCCAGCCAGCATTTTTCTAAGATGCCTAGACTTTAATGCTGGCTGGGGAATTCTGGGAGTGGAAGTCCACACCTCTTAAAGTGGCCATTTTTGAGGAAGAGATACTCAACGTTTGCTTCTCTTTTCCTCACCCAGGTTCAAGCCACAACTTATCAGAGTGCAAAGCTCCAACTATACACCCACCTGAATGTTCGGGATCTGAGCAAGTGGCCTCAAAAGCAGCTGGCGGACACTTTTTGCAGGTAGACTGGCCTGGGCAACCAAAGATCCCTCCAGCCAACGGATAGGAGCAAGTTCCAGCGAGATCTTGTTTCGATTTCGTTCCTCAAATTATGGGATTGTTGATGTTAGTAAGTTTCAACTCAAGACTTGTAAAACTAGCTGGTTTCAACAAGCCGGAATTACGGTGAACTACAAGTTTAGTTTCAGGCCTAATGTACAGATAAGATGCAACTGCATTGGAGAGCAGAAACGTAGTCTGTACTCTCAGGTTTTCCTTCGGCCAGGACCCCTGAATTTACCTAGAACAGGGGTCTCCAAACTTGGCACCTTTAAGACTTGTGGACTTCAACTCCCAGAACTGCCCAGCCAGGGAAACTTCTGGGAGTTGAAGTCCACAAGTCTTAAACTTGCCAAGTCTGAAGAGCCCTGATCTAGAACTTAGATCTGTTATGTTTTGCACTGGTGTGATCTGATCTAGAACCTACCTGTTGTATTTTACACTGATGTGCAGTTAGCACATGAAAAACAAGTGGGAGCCAACAGGTATGAATAAGCAACTGCGCTTCCTTTGGAAAAATCCAGATGCTTCCAAAAAGCAAATTTTGAATGATGTTTGGGGGGGGGGGAATGTTTTTTTTAATATCTATACAAAATATATTCACGCATATTTGACTTCTGCAGATGGAATTCCTCTATTCTTTCAGAGTTTAACGGTAGGATCCGCAAGTAGGGTTGCTTTTAAGCAACCTATAGTCTTCTTGTTACTTTCAGTTTTGCGCCTCTTGTTAAGTTTTAGAATTGCCCTTGGGGAAATTTCAATGTATGCAGATTTTTTTTTTTAAGATATATGTTATTTATTGATGCTTGTTTGGAAATGTGTTTTCTCAGCTGCTGTTTTTGTAGACCAAACTTGACTGCCCACTCTCCAATTTAGAAAGTGTTGGTTTCAGACATTCTTGGTGCTTTGCTCCAAAATGCTACCCAGCACCGTGACCTTGTTGGAAGTCATGCTAAGCCCAACTGTGATTTGTTTGGCTTTGTCTGAATACATGGTGAGACCCTCTCAGTTGTGTTTCATTCAATAAACCGTAATTAAGCAAACTGGGCGTAGCAAGCAGGTGTGGATTTGTTCAGCACCTCCTTCCCTTGCGGATGTGGGGGTAGTCTGAGAAGTGTGGAGGTCTGGAATCAGGGCCAACGCAGGGGCGGATATGCATGTGTGTAACACAGTTGGGAGCAGAATTATGCGAATTCAAGATGAAGAGCCAAGTGGATGCTTGGTGGAAGCATTCAGCTTCGGGAGATTCAAAAGCAAGAATTGCCCGAAAAGACATCGGAGGGGCAGGAACCCCAAGACGAACGATGGGGTTAGGATTTCAGCAAATTCAGAATGGGGAGTGGGGACCCCCAACTTTCACATAATCCTGCTCCGCAAAGTGGGTGACTGTATAAAGATGAATGGATGGAAAATATATTGGATAGATGGATAGACAGATTGGATGGATGGATGGATAAATGGATACAAGATAGTGAAGAGAGATGATAGATGGATAAATGGATAGGTAAATGGATGGATGGATGGATGGAAAAGAGAAGAATGACAGATGGATAGGTAGAGAAGACAGAAAAGAGAAGATTAGATAGATAGATAGATAGATAGATAGATAGAAAGATAGATAGATAGATACTGGTAGATAGATAGCTATAGATATAAAAGATTGCATTGGTGACAGGAAAGGCATCCGGCCATTAAAACACTCTGCTAGCTACATTCAGCTGCCCAGACTCCACCCCACAAGGGACTATGGAGTCGTTAAAAGATGAAGATATAGACATAAGAGATACGTACAATACCAGACCTCCGGATTTTTCGTCGGGCCCTGAAAACTTATTTATTTCAACTAGCCGGGCTGACTTGATCCCACAGTTTTTGGGTTAAATTTAATTGATTTTAATTGGGTTTGTTTTAAATTGTGGGCAAAAATATTTAATTATTTTAAACTCTTTTTAAATTTTGTATGTTCTGTTTTTTATTTTGGCTGTTCACCGCCCTGAGTCCTGTTGGAGAAGGGCGGTATACAAATTGAAACAAACAAATAAATAAATAAGAGAGAGAGAGAGAGAGAGAGAGAGAGGATGGATGGATGGATGTAGAATGATGATAGATGTAGAAAGATGGATGATTGGATAGATAAATGGATTTATTAGATCATACATGACAGATATAAAATGGTAAAATGATGATAGATTAGATAGGGCTTTATCGGGGACTTTGGAGTAGCCAACATTGATGCAAACCAGGAGCATCTGGTACCCCCCTCCATGAGGCATCCTCACCCTCCCAGCCAGCCCCACTTCTGTAGACCCAGGAGAGACACCCACCCCCAGATTTCTTCCTTACTGACCTAGAGAGAGCCAGGTGTGGGGGAGAAATGGGTTTATTGAACATGTACAACATGGTTAAGGGGCCAAGGGCGACAGCATTGGTTACTACAAGGGTTTTAAAAAGGGCAGGAGGACATGAAATTCGGTGGGTCTAAAAATCATAGTGGATCTAAAAAGGGGGCAATTAGATCAGAAGTCATGCAAATGGGGTCCACCAGCTCAGCCCAACCTCCTCCACCTCCCACCCAAACTGTGCTCCCAATTGGCCTGTGCACCAGCTGCATTATCGGATGCAAAATGGCTCTCGTACCATGGAAAGTAAAGTGGACAACCTACATGGTTCCAGTGGGACTTCCTTACTTGCCAAAATCTCTCTGGGATCCACTGTCGTTCTCAACGGAGGGTACAGATTTCTTAAGCCCTCAGGAGATCTTATCTGGCAAGGTCTGTATTGCTCATTTTAAAAGTTGTGGACTTCAATTCCCAGAATTCCCTAGCCGGCCATGCCAACTGGGGAATTCTGGGAGTTGAAGTCCCAGAATCACCTATTCTTAAAAAAGGATGCTTTGAAGACAGCAGACCTAGAGATGCCCTGCAGTTGCTTGAGAAAATCTTAAAATCAAGTTTGAAACCACTTGTTTTTCAACCTTGGCAACTTTAAGAGATGTGGATTTCAACTCCCAGAATCCCCTAGCCGGCATGCTAGTGAACTTGAAGATGGGAATTCCCCAGTCAGCATGGTCGGTTGGGGAATTCTGGGAATTGAAGTCCACACCTCTTAAAGGGCCCAAGGTTGAAACCTGACTTAATGTCTTCATGAAATGCAGCACGACAATACTTGGGATGAAAAACTAAGCTTGCACAGTAACAATAAATCAGTCCAACAATTCTGCTCTGTGGGCAGATAAGAGGGTTATGGATCCTAAATCTAAGGAACTGAATGAAAGAGAAGCATGTTGCATGTACAAATTTGCAGCTCTCACAAAACTTCCCTCTCCTCCGCATGACAAGCATAAAACACGTGTGTGGCTCTTCCCCTTCCTGTTCACGCCACCCTCATCCTCCAAGCAACAACCTTAGGCCGCGCTGCTGGCTGATGGATTCGCACAACCCTCTTAACCTGAGTAGTTACAAACCATGCAATTGCACATTCTCTGAAAGTTGGCTTTTTAGTCTGTAACCTTGGTTTGTTGTTTAGGGCTTAGCGTGTCGTTTGGTTAAGGTACTATTCAGCCCAGTTGCCTGAATTTTAAAAAGATGGTTTGTTTGTTTTTTTAAAACATGGAGATTAAACAAACTACGAAGTTAAACTCTCTGACTCATTCAGTCCTGTGACCTCTTGGAGGCAGGAAAAACAGGGCATACGAGCTGGAAATAAAAACCTAAATATGAGTTTCTTTGCACCCTTGTGGTGCACGGATAAAAATACCCAGGAAAAGGGGTTTGTAGGTTAAAAAAATGGCTATGCTAGTACTCAAAAGCAGTGTGAATCTGCAGGTTCACAGATCTGCTGAACAAGGTTTAAATATCTGATTTTTCCTGGGTGGTATTTATCTTGCTGAGTTTAGGACTTTTATTCCCAAGAAAAGGTTTGTGAGAATCCTGAGGTTTTCTGAATCAATATTCTTCCCACAAATTTGGGGGTGCTTTAATTTTTGAGCAAATTTACACTAGAAAAATCAAGCTAGGCCATTTTCAGGTGTGTGGACTTCAATTGGCTGGCTGGGGAATTCTGGGAGTTGAAGTCCACACATCAGAAAATGACCTAGCTTGAAAAAAATATTGGTGTATGTTAAGTAGAACCATGCAATCCTACCATTTTTTTCTTTTAATTCAAAAGCTTAGCTTTTTTCCCTTAGGGAATCTTAAATTCTAGGGATGCAAGCAAATGAGGGAAAGGGGAAAAAAAAAGCAAATTAAAAATATTCCCGAGTTACGACGGACCATTTTCACAGCCGTTAGAACCATAGAGAAATATTTGCCATACGATTTTCGTCCCCCAAGTGAGGAGAAAACCGACCCCTCGGAATTGGGATGGAGAAGAGAGGGGTGACTATCTTCTGGGGGTTCCCCTAAGGGTCTTCAACCATGAAATAAAAGGGGGTGTTAAAGAAATGAGAGGAAGGGGCTGCGACCCCCACGTGAAATGTAACGGAGGGCATGCGGCATGTATAATGGAATAATAGAGTTGGGAGGGACCTTGGAGGTCTTCTAGTCCAACCCCCTGATCAAGCAGGAAACTCTATGTTGTGAGGAGGGGGGTCAGTGAGTTTCTTCTGAATATGTGCTCCAACTTGGCCGTTTTCTGGACGGCGAGATGACCACGGCTGGACAGTGCAGTGGTCAGGCATCTGGTCCAGGGAATCCCGATGGAGAAAGAGCCTGGCGTAGGAAGAGGTGGATTAGGGACAAATGTCCAAAGTCCAGAGAAGTGGAATGAAGCCAGCACAGACCAAGCCAAGATGACGTTAAGGTCAGATGCTCCATTTTGAGATTTCGAGTCTGCAAAGGTAAGCTGGCGAGGCGGGGGGTGCTTCCCAGGGCTGGCATGGCCCCCCTTCCCGGGCACTCCCCGAACTCTGCCCTCCATGGATGGCGGCCTCTTAGCAGCATCCTCTGCCCCCATCTTCGCCGGCCCCTGCGCCGTCTTGTCGTAAGGGGCCGCTCTGGATGTGGACGGCCGATTTGTGGCTGTCGTTTTGCGTTGGGCCGCTGCTGACCCGGTTCTTGATCTCGGCCGCCATGGTCAAGAAAGCCTGCTCGACGTTGGTGGCATTCTTGGCGCTCGTCTCCAGGAAAGGCACGGCCAGCGAGTCGGCGTATTCCTGCATCCGGAGAGGGCAGAATAAGAGCACGGTAAAAAGCTCCTTACAGTCCTCGCTTAATGGATAGGCCTCACTGAACGACCGGTTGCTCAACTACCAAAGTTTGATGGACCTCCCCAGAGCTATTTATTTGTTTATTTGTATCCTGCTTTATTATTATTATTATTTTAAAATAACTCAAGGTGGCAAACATATCCAACATGCCTTCCTTCTCCTCTTTTCCCCACAACAACCCTGTGAGGTGGGTTGGGCTGAGACAGAGAGAGAGAGAGAGAGAGAGAGAGACTGGCTCAAAATCATCCATCTGGCTTTTGTATCTAAGGCAGGACTAGAATCCACCATTTCCTGGTGTTTGGCCCAAAGTCACCCCGCTGGCTTCCATGCCTAAGGTGGGACTAGAACTCACTGTCTCCTGGTACAGTACTGTATGCCTTTATAACTTCTTGCATTCGATATAAAATCTGTTCGTTTGGTCAGGATATTAATATTTTTACTTGATGTAAAGATGGGGGATTTATAACTTCAGATAACCCCAATGTCTTGCCCCTGACTTACTACTGGGAGTTGTGGTTGAGCAGAGTCGTATATTGGCAGTTCCCTTCAACCCCATCTGGATCTATTTCAGGTCAATGCTAGATCAAACCTGGAGTGTGACCCGCCCAGATCCCTTCCCCTCTGTCCCCAAATGCACCTTGGCAGTTGTGTAATCCACCGCTTTCTTGCTGGAAAGATCACTCTTGTTTCCCACAATCAGCTTGTTGACGTTCTCGCTGGCATAGCGAGTAATCTCCTCCAGCCAAAGATGCATGTTGTTGAAGGAATCCTAGGAGGAGGAGGAAGAGATGTCGTAAAATACCTGCATTTGGAGTTATCGCTTCATTTGTTCCTAATCCAGATACCTGTTTTTTTTTAGGCAAAAGTTTTGCATCCGTTTGTCTGTCTATCTCTCTATATTATCTGTCTGTCTGTCTGTCTGTCTGTCTGTCTGTGTATGTATGTCAGTGGAGATCACATTCATTTTACAATTGTGTTAGTAACTTAACAACTACAGTGATTTAACAACTGTGACAAGAGAGGTTTCAAAATGGGGCAAAACCCACTTAACTTTTTCTCACTTAACACAATTGAGCTGGGCTCAATTGTGGTCATAAATCGAGGATTAACTGTACTTGTAGAAGCTGAGAAAGTTAGTGGTTGGAAGGATGGAACACAGAAGATAAAATAACAGGTTTGGAAGGGACTAGGAAGGTCTTCCAGAAATCTCCAAACATGGCAACTTTAAGACTTATAGATTTCAACTCCCAGAATTCCTAAGCCCAAATTCTGCCAGTTGAAAGTCCACAAGTCTTAAAGTTGCCAAGTTTGGAGACCCCTGTTCTAGCTCAAACCCCTGCTTGAGCCGGAGACCTCATGGATGGAGGCTACCAAACAATGCTTCTTCTCTGCCAGCTGTGGAGAACCACCTGCCTTACCTGGTCCGTCACATCGTAGACAATGATAATGCCGTGTGCGCCTCGGTAGTAGCTGGAGGTGATGGTTCGGAAGCGCTCCTGGCCAGCCGTGTCCCACTGAGGAGAAAAGAAATGTGAGAGACCCCAGACAGTGGAATCAGCAGCTACAGTTTCCCAAGTGGAGGACAAGAAGAACCAACTCTGTTCCTCTTCTCGGTCTACTTATGCAGAAGTTACGCCAGGCGTCTAAAGAGGGGAGGAAGCAGCAGTGGCCTTGATTCTCAACTTCTCTTCTAACCCCCTGGAGATACTCACAATTTGCAACTTGATGGTCCTTCCTTCTAGCTCGATGGTCCGGATTTTGAAGTCCACTCCAATGGTGCTAATGTAACTGTCCGTGTAAGTGTCATCCTGGGGAAAGAAAAGGACCATCGTAGATTTAAGAGCATAGAGCAGAGGTCTTCAAACTGGGCAGCTTTAAGACTTGTGGACTTCAACTCTCAGAATTCTCCAGCCAGCTTTGCTATGCTGGCTGGCGAATTCTGAAGTCCATAAGTCTTAAAGCTGCTAAGTTTGAAGATATCTGGCATAGACGTTCCTCAAAGAGCTCTCCCAAGAGTGGTTGGTGGACTCCATAAGTTCTTGAAATTGGGGGACCTTTGAACCAGATTTGAGGATTTTTTCAGGGTACGGATGGGGATCCTCAATCCTCCAGGTCATGGTTGTCCCAGAACTATTCTTTTTCCAAAAAAAGCAACTGGACTTTCTTGGGCTTTTTTTCCTTGAAGACATTTCACTTCTTATCCTCGTGAGCTTCTTCAGTTCATGAAGTTCAAACCCTTAAAAAGCTCCTTGGTGACGTTTCACTTTCCTTGAAGAAGTGAAACGTCTTCAAGGAAAAAGCCCAGTTGCCTCTTGAAAAGGCACATTTGGAGTTTGGTTGGAGGTGAGAGATGTTCCTCAAAGTGACCATCATCTGGATCATTTATCGGACTCCTGTCCAGATGTCCCTCGCTCTCTATCCCGAAGAGATTTGAGGGACAGATGGCCTGAATCTGAATTAGGTCCCTTCTTGTCTGTCCGGCCCCGCTGACTTCAGGATTGCAAAAAGTCCTTGGAGCATTTTCTCAGAAGCCTCTTCCTCCTCTAGTCCCAAACTCAACCCGGCCCTGAAAATGAGCCCCTGAATTTGAATCCTGCCTGCCCTCCCCCATCAGTTTCCACCCAAAATCCCCTCTTACCGCAAATCGTAGGAGGAGGCAGGACTTCCCCACTCCGGAATCTCCGATGAGCAGCAACTTAAATAAATAATCGCTGTCGTTGAGGAAGCAAAAATCGACAAAAAGGGGTCAGCATTTAAATGTCTGGTACAAGTAGTCCTCGACTTACGACCATTCGTTTACCAACCAAATAAGGGCATTCGGTATTTACGACGGTTGCAATGTCCTGTGGTTACGGGATCGCCATCTGCGATCTTCACAGCTGGCTTCCGACAAGCAAAGTCAATGGGGGAAGCTGGACTCACTTAATGTCCGTGGCTAAAACAGTTGTAAAAATCAACCGCCTTGCTTAGCAGATAGACTGTGTCTCACTTACAACCCTAACTCATTTAACAACTCACTTAGCAACATAAATTTTGAACTCAACTGTGGTCGTAAGTCGAGGATACCTGTAAGCCCTTATTTATTATCTGCTTCATTCAATTTCCTTGTTCATCTCACATGTGCAACTCCTTTTCCATCATCCTGAGTTTAGTGGGATGCAGGTAAGACCCTTTTCGGTTGCAGAATACTTACTATTCGGGGCTGATGGTTGACATGGTAGCCACAATTCCTTCCCAAAGTCCAGTGTTCCCACCAGTTTGAGTTCGCCAAAGAAGGTGCGTTGGCTTCTTACGTTGTGACTGTCTTTGGGGCAAGTAAGTCTGTGTGAGTCCAATATTTTTATATTGGTACCTTTTAAATGAAAAATAATTTACTTTTATTTTTTAACTTTTAAATTCAAAAATAAATATTTGAAGCCTGAGCACCTATGTTACAGCACCACCAGGTAGTAATGCTGAATGGAAAGCATATTAAAATTAAATCCAGAACAACAAGAGTTGGGAGGGACTTCGGAGGTCATCTAGTCTGACCCGCTGCTGAAGCAGGAGACACTATTTCAGACCAATGGCTGTCCAGTCTCTTCTTAAAAACCTCCAGTGATGGAGCCCCCACAATTTTTGAAGACAAGCCATTAATTGTTCTCACTGTCAGGGAATTTCTCCTTAGTTCTAGGTTGCTTCTCTCCTGGATTAGTTTCCATCCGTTGCTTCTTGTCCTGCCCTCAGGGGCTTTGGAGAATAGGTGGAACCCCCCCCCCTCTTCTTTGGGGCAGCCCCTCAGATATTGGAAGATGCTATCATTGTCACCCCAGTCCTTCTCTTTGTTAGACTAGACCAGAGATTTTCAACTTTAAGATTGGTGGACTTCAACTCCCAGAATTCTGGGAGTTGAAATCCACCAGTCTAAAAGCTGCCAAATTTGAAGACCCTCAATTAGACATACACAGTTCCTTATCAGTTATCAATGCTTTTCTTTTTATTGCTGTTCTAATTTCTGATTCAGGCCCAGTTCTGTCTCCCCCTCCCCCCCCAAATTGGGAGCTTCTCATGAAGAAAAAAATATATCAAGAAATCCCCTTGGTGCTTGTGCTCCATTCTTTATTTTTAATTGGCCTCCAGAACTTCAACCTATTTCCACCCAGTTCCCCTGATTTATAAATGCAGAAACTTGGACATTTGGCCAATCTTGTAAGCCCATCCAAAGAAGGACTGTAAGGGAGACAGGGAAGCACTTTGCACATGTCCAGAAACTCTTCTGATAATTACTTGATATAATCTCAGGATTGGCTGTTGCTGGAACGGGGCCCTTCTCATACTCTACCCCCACCCCTCTTTTTTCTTTTTTCTTTTTTTTTTACATTTAATGGAATTTAATCCCAGAGCTGCTTTTTTCAAGAGAGCACTGGCTGGGGAATTCTGGGAATTGAAGTCCACAGGTTGGACATCCCTGCCGAGGGTCTGGGCTTGGACGAGAAGACCTCCAAGGTCCTTCCATCTCTTGTTATTCTGCATCCTTGTTTTTTGAATTCCGGTTACGAGGGCCCCAGAGTTCTGGCTAGCCTCAATTGTACGGTGTCTTGTTTCATTCTGTTGGGTTTGACCCGAGAGGAACCCCACCCACTCACCCACCCACCCACATTAAATGGAGCAGCCCCATAGATTGATTTCTTCCACCCTGGAGGGTTCCCCCACCCAAGCCTTGGGAGGATGCAAATTGATCAGAGGGAGGGGAGTGTTCCCAAACACAGGTGCAGCCTAAATTCTGGGCCTTGTTGCAAGGCCTGGGGGGCAATCCACAGCCCACATCTCCCAACTATACAGGCCCCCTCCCTCTAAAATGAACAGGGACCCCCCACCGCCAAGGCTTTGGGGTCACAAACCCCGAAGGGGCTTTAAGGGGGTTCAGGAAAAACAGATCTGGGGCCCTCCCTGCTGATTCCCCCACCCCCCACCAGCCAGCCATCCTCCTGCAGTCCCACGGTCGCCCCTTGGAAAGACCGAGCCCAGTTTGACCCCCCCCTTTCTATTGGGTCTGGGGTCGCCCGAAGGGAAGCTGGCAAGGGCAGCCTTACCTGCTTCTTTGCTCTGGAGCGGGGCCAGAGATGGGCTCCGCAGAGGCGACGGGGGCGTCCGCGGAGGATGCTCTGGTCGGGCTCCGCCGGGCAAGCCGGGGGGGCTCCCCTACCTGCAGGGTGGGGGGCGCGGGGGGCTCCTTCCTGGGGGGCTGCTGCTGCTGATGCTCAGGCCGGCCATGCCGGAGGGGAGTCCCCGCTGCAACGTGACGGCGGCGGCGGCTCCGCGATGGAGACAAAGAGCCCCTCGCGACCCCCGCCCCTAAAGCAGCAGCAGCAGCAGCAGCTGGCGCGCTCCGTCCCCGGCCCGGCTGTCCTGCAGCGGGGGAGGGGGGGAGGCGGGGGGGGCTCCAGCTGGGCGCGCGGCCATTGGCCAGCCCCGGGAATGACGTCATGAGACCATGCAGAGCCGGCCTGCAGTGGGGGTGGGCGAGCATCAGCTGGTCAGCCCCATGCATCGCCCAGGTGGGGAGGGGGAACTGGTGGGGTGATGGGCTGGGCAGGCAGAGACGCATCGAGGAGCCGGGAAGGAGGGTGGGGGTGGGGGAGCTTGGCAGCCTTCTGGACTGCTGCCCACCCGGGTGGGGCGGGGGTCTCCGCACGTGCTGCCGACGGACGAGGAGGTTTGCTTTGCATCGAGGAGAGTTCACCAGCGGAACGGCTTGCCACCAGAAGTCGTGGTGCGCTCCATCACCGGAGGTTTTGAAGAAGAGGCTGGACAGCCGCTTGTCTGAAATGGGATAGGGTCTCCTGCTTGAACAGGGGGATGGACTAGAAGACCTCCACAGGCCCCTTCCAGCTCTATTCTAAATTCTGAATCATCTCTCGCGTGCCTGAGCAGGAGGGGGAGAGGTGGGGCGACCCCCTCCCCCCCCAAGAGGGGCCTGAGGTGTTGCAAAAAATGCCTTCTCTGCAGGGTGGGGGGAGGTTTGGCAGGATGTGCAAGGGCCGAACTCGCAGGGGGTCTTCACTTCGGCCGGGGAAGCAGTCGCTGGAGCTGGGGACTAAGGGGTCGGCTGGCCCAGAGGGGACGGGGGGGGTCTATTCCACCCTCCCCCACCCCAGGGCTATGAAAAGCTGTCTGGGAAACTTAGCCCAGCCCACCTCGCAGGGTTGTTTTTTAGGGGTAGGAGAAAGCAAGCCTTTGGTGTAGTGGTTTGAGATGCTGGGGTAGAAACCAGGAGACGGTGAGTTCTAGTCCCGCCTTAGGCACGAAAGCCGGCTGGGCGACTCCTTTCCATTCAACCTACCTCACAGGGTGGTTGTTGTGGAGAAAATAGGAGGGAACATTATGTACGTTCAACCTTGAGTTATTTATAAAAACAATAAAGGCAGGATGGGCATCTAGGAAATAAAATAAATCACCTGAACTCGTATTTAATAGGTGGAGGTGCATCTAGCCAGCAACACAGGCAGTTTCTTTTGAGTTTTGCAGCTGGGCAGGGTTAGGGGGCTGGGTCATGTTTTCCTCCCCTGAAAGAAATTCAGGGAAAATCTCCACCCGCCCTTGCAAATTCTTGGCTCAGAGTAACTTGGGCGGTTGGCAGCTCAGCCCCCGCCAGGCCCCCCCACCTGGAATGCGGTGTATGCCAAGGCTGTTGATAGCCGGTGGGCGAACTTTCCTGGCAGCTGAAAGTAAGTTAGAGCTCCCTCCGTGGTCATTTGGCCCTGTCTGTGCACTCATAGAGAGAGAGAGACAGAGGGAGAGGGAGGGAGGGAAGGAGAGAGAGGAAAGAAAAAGAGAGAGAAAGAGAGAGAGGAGAGAAAGACAGAGAGAGAGGAAAGAGAGAAAGACAGAGGAGAGAGAGAGAAAGAGAGGGATGAGAGAAAGAGGGAAAAAAAGAGAGAAAGGCAGAGAGAGGAAAGAGAGAGAGAGGAAAGAGAAAGAGGGAGAGGGAAAGACAGGCGAGAGAGAGGAAAGAGATGAGAGAGAAAGGAAAGAGGAGGGAGAGACAGAAAAAGACAGAGAAAAGAGAAAGGGAGAGAGAGAGGGAGAGAGAGAGACAGAGAAAGAGAAAGAGAGGGATGAGAAAGAGAGGAAAGAGAGAGAGAAGAGAGAAAGGGAGAGGGAGAGGGAAAGACAGGCGAGAGAAAGGAGAGAAATGAGAAAGGAAAGAGAGGAGAGATATAGACAGAAAAAGACACAGAGAGAAGAGAAACATACGTCCACAATAGAACCCAAAATTTATATTGCTAAGCAAGGTAGCTTTTAAGTGGGTCATCCCCCCTTTTAGGATTTTTCTTGCCATGGTTGTAATCACACCCGTTGTTAAGTGGATCATGCGGTCCTTAAGCAAATCTGGCTTCCTCCACTGACTTTGCTTGTGGGAAACCTGCTGAGAAGGTCACAAATGGGGATCCAGTGATCCTGGGACCCTGCGATCCAAATGCCCAGAGAGGACTGGTGGGGATTTTGCAACAGTCGTAAGCGTGAGGACCGGTCACAAGCCACTTTTTTTCTACTATGAACGGTCATTAAATGAATGATCGCAAGTCAAGAACCGCCGGTCGTGTTTGGGAGCAGGAGACTCAGAAAAGTGGAACCCTGGAAGGAAAGTTAGAAATGCAAAAAAAGAAAAGGAAACCCAGAAATGTATCCAGGCTAATGAAGCATTTAATCTATATAATTGTTTAAGTCTAGCACGGAATTTTGCCGGTCTTACTTAGTGTCCATTTTCCCCATTGACTTTGCTTGTCAGAAGCCGGCTGGATAGGTCACAAATCGCGATCACATGATCCCAGGATCCTGCAACGGTCATAAGGGCAAGGAGTGGCTGTAACTCACTTTTTCCGCTCTGTTGTAGCTTTCATCCGTTTACAACAAATTTACAACAAATCGTTGTAAAATTGTGGAATTGCTTTCATGCACCTTTTATATCCTTTTTATATCCATTGCTAAACATCCTGAACAATTTCCAAGGCCTGAGATTTGTGAGCCCGCCGTGTCCAGCAGCAGCCCAAAAAGCTAATACAGTCCTGCGTTGTAGATCACGTGAAGTATTAGTGCCGCTTTGAAAAGCCTTAGTAAGGCCACACCTGGAATACCACAACCAATTTTGGGCACCACACTACAAAAAAGATGTTAACAAATTGACAAGAGTTGGAAGGGACCTTGTAGGTCATCTAGTCAAACCCCGCTGCCCAAGCAGGAGACCTTGGAAAAAGTGCAAAGAAGAGCAACTAAAACGATCAAAGGCCTGGAGATTAAAACATAGGAAGGGCGGCTGCAGGATTTGGGTTTGGCTACTCTAAAGAAAAGAAGGATTGCGGGGGGACAGGGTAGCAATATTCCAGTATTTGAGGGGCTGCCACAAAGAAGAGGGGGCCATATAATTTTCCAAAGCACCAGAAAGCAGGGCAAGAAACAATGGATGGAAACGAATCAAGGAGGGAAGCAACCTAGAATTAAGGAGAAACTTCCTAACAGGGAGGACAATTAACCAGTGGAACTGCTTGCCATTTGAAGTTGTGGGCGCTCCATCTTTGAAGGTTTTTAAGAAGAGACTGGGCAACCCTTTGTCTGAAATGGTAGGGGGTTGGACTAGAAGACCTCCAAGGTCCCTTCAAGCTCTAGTCTATATTTGTGCACAAGTCATCAGCGAGGAACAATTCAACACAGCTATCCCATTATCCGAAGCAGATCCAAGCGCCTGCCCTACACGCAAACACACAAAGCACAGCTGGTCCTCGACTTACGATCACGACCGAGCGCCAAATTTCCCTTGCTAAGCAGGACAGTTGCGAAATTGATTTTGCAAAATTTTACAACTTTCCTGGTCACAGTCGTTAACCGAATCGCTGTGGGTGTTAAATCCCTGCGGTCGTTAAGGCAGTCACACGGTCGTTAAGCGAATCTGGCTTCCCCATTGACTTCGCTGATCAGAAGGTCGCCAAAGGGGAGGCTTCATGAATCGGTCGTCAAGTGTTCGAATTTTGATCACGTGACCCTGGGGTTGCTGTAAGTGGGGAAAACTTTTTTCAGTGCCATCGTCCCTTCGAACGGACACTAAACGAATGGTCGTAAGTCAAGGACTACCTGTAAGCACCTCACCCATTACATAAATGGCTTGTTTTCGGATCGCAGTTCTAATTCCTAACTGGAGGTCTAATCTGCAAGCGTCAGCCGTCCGAACTCGTGGGTCGCATCTCTGAAACAAGCTTTCTGTGCACTCTCAGGAACCCATGAGAGATCTGATCAGATTCCGGAGGTTGTTTTCCTTTGCCCTTCGCCATAAAATCCTTTAGGGGGACCCCTCTGGACCTTCCTCATTTCAGGATTCGTAGACTCATCTTCCGTTCGATATTCAGCTTTTCCACCGACTGCAAAAAAAAAATAATCAGAGGGAGATTTTAGGAAAACCTCCTGTTGATGTGAGTACAGGAGGTCCTCGTCTTATGACCACAATCGACCCCGATGTTTCTGCTGCTAAATGAAACAGTTGTTAAGTGAGTTTTGCCCCCGTGTTATGACCTTTCTTGCCATAGTATAGTTCAAATTCTACAGGAATGCCTGGGACGTTCCTGATGTTGTAGTCCCAGCACATCTGGACGGCACCATGTTGGTCAAGCCAGACAATTACAGGTAGTTGTCAACTTAAGACCACTTACGACCAGAATTCCCATTGTTAAGCCACCGGTTGTTAAGTGAGTTGCAACAGATCTCACCATCTGTTTTTTCCCACGATCGTTAAGCGAATCCCATGATTGGGAAGGTCGGAAACGGTGATCAGGTGACCTCGGGATGCTGCAATCATTATAAATACACGCTGGTTGGCAAGCACCCCAACTCGGATCATGTGATTGTGAGAATGGTCGTAACTGCAAGGACCACTCAGAAGTCCCTTCCCCCCCCCCCCCCCGGTGATCTTGTAACAGTCGTTAAAGAAATGGTCACAGATTGAGGACTGCCTCCCCCTTCCCAGCTTCTCTGCATCTGCACCCCCTAAAACGGTCGATTTCTTTTTGTCCAACCGACCTTGGCAAACTCCTCAAAGGAGATGGCGTTGTCTCCATCTCTGTCGGCCTCCTGGATGGTTCGGTCCGTGATATTCTCGAGCTGGTCGTTGGTCACCTGGAGGCCCACCATCATTCTCAAGACCTGGGTGCGAACAGAGACGGCCGAAGCTGAGTGCAGCCAGAGAGGGGTGGGTGGGTTATGGATTCCCACCCCCTGGGCCATCCCTTGATGAAAGCCAAGCTTGGATTTTACAGGGAAGGACCGACCCTCTGTTAAGAAGAGAGTCCACTCTGGCTCCATGGTGCAAGTTAGCCATTTACCATTTTCACAGGGTTGGATTTGAACTCGGGGCTGCCCCCGTCTGTTTTTCACTGCAAGGGGAGAATCAAGCTTGGCTGCTTTTCACCAGAGGCATCTGCACAGAGCATCTAGATCAGCGTTTCTCAACCTGGGCCACTTAAAGATGGGTGGACTTCAACTCCCAGAATTCCCCAGCCAGCTTAGCTGGAATAATAGGGTGGGGAGGGATCTTGGAGGCCTTCTAGCCATGAGACCCTCTACGATTTCAGACAAATGGCTGTCCAGTCTCTTCTTAAAAACCTCCACCCACAACTTCTGGTGGCAAGTTGTTCCACTGATTAATTGTTCTGTCAGGAAATTCTTCCTGAGTTCCAGGTTGCTTCCCTCCTTGATTAGTTTCCCTCTGTTGCTTTCTGTCCTGCCCTCAGGTGCTTTGCAGAATAGATCACCCAGCAATGAATTACCTGCAGCATTTCAGCCCGTGAGATCTTCCCATCCTTATCTTGGTCGTATAACTGAAAAGCAACTTTACCAGAATCAGAAAAAGCAAGAATTAGAACAGAGGATGACAATCAGAAGATCAAAGTACTGGAAATACAATGCCAACTCTCACAAGACTGAGTGAGTTGTTCATTCATCCATTCATTCGTCCGTCTGTCCATTTGTTTGTTCGTTCATTCATTCATTCATTCATTCATTCATTCATTCATTCATTTGTATCCTGCCTTTATTATTTTTACAAATAATTCAAGGCAGCTAATATATTTAACACTCACATTTCAGCTTGCTAAGGTGGCTGTTGATGTCCTCGGGGCTGCCAGGTGCCTCCACTGGCCGGAAGTGAGCGAGCACACGAGCAAAGGAGCGGAAGTCAGCTTCCTCAGCCCTGGGGGAGAACAAGACACGGCATTTTTGTGGGTCATTCTAAGAATGTTCCTTATCCAGGGACATTACCAGATAAAAAGAATACGTAGAATAAGAATAGAAGGGAGTGAGGTTTGCTGTCTACAAGCAAGCTACTTATATATAAACACTCCCTTTTAGCCCTGATGATGTATCCTAGTTGGGTCATGAAATGTCTGCAAGAAAACCAAGAAGCTCAGAGAGCACCAAGGACCCCAACAGTTCAACCCTGAGCTAGAAAGATTCTCTACTATTGCTACTTAGCTTCATTGTCCTTCTGCTCTTCCTGTTCTTGCTTGTAAACAAAAGTCAGGTGGAGCAGAGTCCACTTCCTTTGATTAGGGCAGGGTGTAAGAGGACCATGGCCCAGCCAGGCCTGACCCCTCCTCCCTGGCTGGACTTTGGAGGTTGCCCCGGACTCACCCATCCGGGAAGAAGGCATTGATGATCCGGTCTCCGATAGGGTTCACTGCCAACTTGCCGATCCCTTCCAGATCGTATCGGCTATCAAGAGCAAAAAAGGAAAAAAAAAAGTGACTTTACAGCAACCGATTAAGCTTGGCCACTTTAAGACCTGCGGGCTTCAACTCCCCAAATTTCCCAGCCAACTTTGGAATTCTGGGAGTTGATGTCCACAAGTCTTCAAGCAAAGCAGAATTCTGGGAACTGGAGTCTACAAGTCTTAAAATTGCCAAGATTAAGCTATAGATTCACATCAGAATTAATTGCATTTTCTAACACGTTCCTCCGTTTTGCTCCCACGTGCTCCAGGGTGGTGAATGAGAGAAACACAGAGTTGGAACTGGACGTGCAAATAATCAAATGCAGATGTCAGTCAGCCGTAATAAATTAAAGCTGAACAAAGTTTCCTGTTTCCAAAACAAAGATGCTTATCTTTTCTTGATTCCGCTTCCTTCTGGAATCTGCTGTTTTCCTGCTGATTACTACCTGCTGCGGAGGCTTTGTTTGCAACTCCGGTGGCAGAGATGTTTTTGGAGACTGCTGGAAATGCAGCTTCTTTCCAGGGGCCTCATTTGATAGAGCAAGACAAAGGGGAAAAAATTCTCCATATAAAAGAGGAGTTGCGGAGTGGCCTTTTAAGGGGAGAATCTTGGAAAACATTAGTCTTGGGCTGCGCTGTATTAAAAAATAAAAACAGCACCATTAGCTAAGAATTATTGTAGGTAGTCCTCGACCAAAGTTGACTACAAAATTTCTGTTGCTAAGTGAGACTGTTGTTAAGTGAGTTTTGCCCCATTTTACGCCTTTTCTTACCAGAGTTGTTAAGTGAATCACTGCAGTCGTTAAGTTAGTCACATGGCTGTTAAGTGAAGTGGGTTTCCCCGCTGACTTTGCGTGTCGGAAGGTCGCAAAAGGGGATCACGTGACCCCGGGGACACTGCAACTGTCATAAATATGAGTCAGTTGCCAAGCATCCAAATTTTGATCATGTGAGCAATGGGGCTGCTGTTCAGCCACTAAGCAAATGGTTGTAAGTCAAGAACCACCATCTTTATATTTCTCTTATTTTAATATTTTTCATTTTCATAGTTTTCATTTTAGTAGATTTGCATTATTTTTTTCCTGAAGTTCTTTTAATGTTTTCAATTTTAATATTTCAGATTTAAAGCAGGAGAACTGATTTCTTCCTTGTGCTCTTTTTCTAAGGTGGCTTTCACCAACTTTTTAACGTGTGCAACCAATCTCATTGTACGTATGTTGTGCACTGACAAAAAATATTTGAATTTACTTTCTCCTTTTGTGAAAAGGGCTAAAAAAAAAGGCAAAAGGTTGCCCAAGGCAATTTGGTTTTCAGGTTCATTGGTTTATCCTTCTGGCTTTCTGCTTCGTCACCTGCCACACATCGTAACCCATGGTTGGAAGCTGGCTTGTCTGAAACTAACCCTAAGTGATGCACATTTCAGGCCAATGTCAACTGATATTGTGGTCAGGAAAAGGGGGGGAAACTCCATGCAGTGGTAAGAAAGGTTCAAGCTTTGAAAGTGTGCCTTGCGGCCCCAAAGCCCCCCCCAGCCCCCTTTCCTGCCCCCCCTCCCGGGCTCTGCCTCCCCTTCCCACTTACTTCAGGTAGCCCTTGTCGTCCCTGTCCAGGGCCTGGAAGCGCTGGTAGAGGCGGGCAAGGCTGGCTTCGGAAACTGGGCAAAAGAAGAGAGGAGTTGTGGGATCAACTGCAGGAAATGCTGCCAGAGCGAAGCAGCCACGAAGCCACTTTGTGGGGGCTGCAAGTGCTGGTGTGAGGAGGGGGCTGGCCTGGCTGGATCCACAGGGAGGAGCCTTTGCCCTGCGCATTGAGGGGGGCTGGGGAGGGGGCAGATAGGCGGTTCAGGCGGACCTTGGGCTGGGGGCTGGGATAGGAGAGGGGCCGAGGGGGGGCAGGGGAGTCTTTCCAAGAGGCCAGGGGAGCCCCGTGGGGGGGGGGGGGGTGGGGGGGCCCTTCGGGCCCCCGGGGCGGCCCGGCTGATTCGCTTCCCGGGGGGGGGGGGGGGAGGGGCTTCATACGAGTGGAAGGCAACGGGCCGCCCCCTCCCCTCCCCTCCCCCCCCCAAACCCCGCCGCCCCCCCCCCCCCAAATCTCGGTCGGGCCATCTGTTGCAGCGAGCCGGCCCCCCCCCCCCCCGGCAGCCCTTCCCCGCCCGGCTGGGAAACTTCAAAGCTGGGTGGGGGGTCGAGAAAAGGAACCGTCGCCCCCTCCCCCAACTGCCCCTTGGCCGAATCCGGCCGGGACCCCCGCAAGGCGGCGAAGGAACCGGGATGGCCCGAGAGGAGTGGGGCTCCTGCCAGCCCCCTCCCGCCCCTCCCCTCCCCTCGGGAGCCCCGATCCGGCTTTGCCAAGCCCTCCTCCCCCGCCCAGAGCTGCCCTCCCCCTGGGCTCCCCCAGCTGGGCTCTCCCGCGGATGATGGGCGTTGGAGTCCCTCCTCCTTACAGCCGGTCTCAGCCATGATCGCCTCCTGCTCCGGCACCGGCCGCTGCTCCTGCGAGCCCTGCGCGCCCATCGCGCCCCCCGAGGAGGAGGAGGAGGAAGGGCGGCCACAGGGGCAGCTGCTCTCCCCCCGGCCGAGCCGCCGGACTGCCCCGCCCCGCCCCGCTTGGCTCCCAGCCCCGCTTGGCCGCCGCCGCCGCCCGCCTGCCGGGCTCCCGGCTCTCAGCCCCGCGTCTCTGCGCTCGGCGTGGCTTGCAAGGCAAAGCGGCCGCCTGAGCTCTGCAACCGGGGGGGGGGGGGGGGTCTTGGTGGGGCTGGCTGCAGAGAGAGCCCCTCCCGGCCCCTGAGTGGGAGAAGGGGGACGAAGGAGGGGATTGCCGGAAGAGACCCGACGCCGCTTTGGCTGCCTCCACTTGGAACTCCCGCCACCTGGTGAGGCAAGGGGGCCGGGGGGCTTCGGGGAAACCCCTCCCTGCCAGGGCGGGACCGTGGGTAAAGTTTGGAGAAAAGTTGGATAAACTAAAGGGATTAATTTAATTTAATTTAATTCATTCAATTTATATGCCGCCCCTCTCCAAAGACTCAGGGCGGCTGAGGGGAGGGGGAGGAAGAGGAGGAAGAGGAGGAGGAGGAGGTTCTTCATACCATCGAAGCACTGATGCAATTACCTAGTTGGGTCAGGAAAAGTCTGCATGCAAACAACCCAGCTCAGAGAGAACCTGCAGAATTTGAGCTGGATCACTTGATGGATCACTCAGTTTCCCAACAAGCCAGAACTGAAATCCGAGCTTCTTCTTGGACCTCCCACTGGGTTACTTAGGGGAGAAGGTTGAAGTCCCACTTTTGGTCTGTCTGTCCCTGAGCAAAGTAGGAACTTAGTAGAGCTTCCCTTGGCTAAGTCATTCCCAGCAATGGAATACGGGAATGGCCTGAATGAGGAGGGGGAAATTTTGCACACCTTTTACGCAAAATCTGTGAAAACCTCATGTCCACAGCCGCCGCTCGGCCACCCGGCAACCCATCAGAACAGAAAAGAATATCAGACGGATTACATCTTCCGCAAAATAGATATTTTATATAACTTTCTTTTGCAAGAAAACACCTTACATTAAAAACAAAACAAAACACCACCACACAGAATAGTTACAGAAGCTGGGAAAAGATTCACCAACAAGACACATAAATATACACAATGCACAACATAAATATGAATATAATTATCTCCAGCAGGATTTTCTTACTTATTTATTGTATACTGTACAATACTCCTTGTTTGTTTTTAAATTAAAAGAAGAAATATAGGGGAGGGGAGATAACTTAAAAAGAACTGCTGCCCTTCTTGGGATTTTTAAAATTCCTGATTTTGCCATCCGAGGCTCTACATTTAAATCTTTTGAAATAAACCAAGAAGGCAGCTGCCACTGGGATTCAAATTAAATTAAGAGAACAGCGATGCTTTTAAAAGTATACGATTCTGTCACTTCATACTTCGGTTTTCATTCCCAAAAATCATCACCCTTTTTGAAAAACAAATATCTCAACTTTTCTATAACTGGCGAACAGAAAAAAGTAAGGTCCCTTCTCAAAAACTCCCAACAGGTTGAAACAAAATTAGAACAAGGGACAAGCAACTTACAAAGTGCGCCTGGTTTTTTTATGTAAACCTCCACAGATTCTATTGGTTGCGGTTGTTGAAATTTTATAGAGGTAAAAACCAAAGCCCTTTGTACGAATTCTGCAAAGTCCATTTGGGGCTCAAATTCCCACCCTCCACACCCAGTGAACACTTAAGGCAGGGGTGGAAGGTTCTATATCGGCAGAATCTGAGTTGTTTTTCTTTGATTTCTTTCCACAATTAAATTCGGACCCTGAGATCACGCAACTGAAAACACGTGCAAACTAGAGATGCAAGCATGCTAAGCATTAAGGACCAGGGTGCCTCTGAGCATATCCAGAGCTCAGGAACTTTTGACCAGTACCAGAACCAAACACAAGCTCTTCCCGAAATATGTTTACCCATTGCTATTGCAACAAGAGGGGAGGAAATACACATATACTCCCCCTTGTAAATTGTCTGTCACTACTCCAGTGTGGCTCGGTCTTCTCTGGAAAAAATTATAATCCTTTTTTAAAATTATTAAATGGGTGATAGAGACCATCCCAAGCCAGGCGGCAGGACATACATTTGGTTGAGCCGAACTCTTCTGCAGGTCTAGAGCGGCTGGGTGCAGGCTGGCTTTTCGGAGGGGGGGGGGAAAGCAGAGGTCATCCAGCAGGACAAGAAATGATGGTTTGGGGGTCTCTGCAGAGGGGAAACAGCCCTAATATCTCTGCTGCTTTGAGGTGCTGCCCTCGTGTGGCAAAGGGTGGCATAACCAGGAAAAAGCCATTTTTCAGAAGGCCCATTAAGGAAGAATATTTATTTACTTAATTTATTTATTAGACTTCTGTGCCACCCAGCTTGCCTAGTGAATACCGGAAGTCCTCGACTTACGACCACAATCGAGCCCACAATTTCTGCTGCTAAGTGAGAGATTTGTTACATGAATTTTGCCTCGTTTCACCACCTTTTCTTGCCAGTTAAGGGAATCCCTGCAGTTGTTAAGTTAGTCACACGGTTGTTAAGTGAATCAGGCTTCCCCATTGACTTTGCTGATCAGAAGGTCACAAAAGGAAGATCACGTGACCCCAGGACATTGCGACCGTCGTTAAGTGTGAGTCAGTTGCCAAGCATCTGAACTTTGATCCGACGGACACGGGGGGGATGCTGCAGTGGTTGTAAGTGTGAAAAACGGTCATAAGTCACTTTTTCCCGTGCCCTTGTAACGGCAAACGGTCACTAAATGAATCGTTGTCAGTCGATTGTAAATTGCTTTCATTCCTGATGCCGAGTATTCCTGAGCTGGTGCTGCAGATTTCTTGGCTACCAAACCAAACTTTTCTGCTTAATATCGGAGGATTTGGATGAAAAGCAGAGCAGGAATCTAATGCCAACACTTACAGCTTCCTATCCCGGGCAACGTTTGTTTTTTTTTTCCCAGGAAAAATCCCACCAAACTGACACCGGGGGGGGGGGGGGGGGGGTTTCCACAAAAAATGACTTCAGTTCCAGCACTTATGTAGGGAAAGGGCCTGCCTTTTATCCCCATTCAGATAATCCTTGTGCAGTTTTCTTTCTTTTCCATCTTCCTTTTTTCCCCCCAAATCATCTTCTCTTCTTTTGCTCCCCCCCCCCCAAAAAAGACAAATTTCTTTGAAACCCGGCTTTCCATTTGCATTTTTTCCTCCCAATCTCTTGGTCATTTCCATTCAGATCCAACTTTTCCATCTCTTGTTCTCGATGCCAATAATAATAATAATAATAATATTAACAATAACTATAAAAATAGCAGCAAGAATAAATATTAAATATCTTCCTTTAAAAAAGGAGTCTTTCTTATAATACTATAGAGATTTCAAAAATAATCATCAGCACATCGGCTGGGGGCCCCAGGGGTCTTTTCAGTGTGCGCAATCTGTAAACATTCTTTTAGCTGAAAAATATTCAAATAAAACCGTGGACGGAGGCCAGGTTCCGAGGCTCGGCTGGATCTTCTTTAAACCTAGAAAAAAGCAGGAAAGAAATTGGAACATCACACCCTGGCAAAACATAGAACTTGGAACTTTCGGCTAAGATGCTCCTGGATTAGGACCTTGGAGGCCATCTAGTCCAACCCCCTGCTCAACCAGGGGACCCTAGCCTAGATCATTTCAGACAAACAGCTGTCCAGTCTCTTCTGGAAAACATCTGGTGATAAAGCATCCCACTTCTGGAGGGAAGCCGTTCCACTGATTAAATGTTCTAGGATTTTAGAATCACAGAATCACAGAGTTGGAAGGGACCTCGGAGGTCTTCTAGTCCAACCCCCTGTTCAAGCAGGAGACCCTCTACCATTCCAGACAAATGCCTGTCCAATCTCTTTTTGAAAACCTCCAGTGATGGAGCACCCATAACTTCGGGAGGCAATTTCTGTTCCACTGCCTAATTGTTCTCACTGTCAATGGGGATACAGAATAAGAGAGTTGGGAGCAGGGGTGAAATGCTACCAGTTCGCTCCGGTTTGGGCAAACCGGTAGCAGCAGCGGCGTGTGGTTTGGCGAACCGGTAGCGGTAGCAGCGCAAGGCTCCGCCCAGACGCCATTACTGTTTTGACTCTGTGCACATGCACAGAAGGTCTATAATTGGATGTGAAGATGGCGCGTGGGCGAGCAAAGAGCGCATGCATGGCGCACAAACTTCCAAACCGGTAGGGAAGATAAGTAGATTTCACCTCTGGTTGGGAGGGACCTCAGAGGTCTTCTAGTCCACCCTCCCCTATTCAAGCAGGAGACCTTGTACCATTCTGGAGAAATGACTGTCCAGTCTCGTCTTCTTCTTCTTTAAAAACAAAACCTCTCTTGAGTCCCTGCAGGGTCTGTTTCTTTCTAGCGTCCTTTGAAAGGCTGAGATCAGCCCCGACAGACCCTCCGAGTCCCAGGGCAGCATCGGTGCCTTACCTCCGTGGCGTAAACGCAGGGTTCCACCTGGCCTGGGATGATGAAGATCGGGTGGTAAGCACCGTCCTTCGGACACTCCGCAGCAACGGGCCAGCTGGGCTCCGACGGTTTACTATAGGACAGAAAACAGGCAGTCAGGGGGTGAGGATACGGTGCTCTTCCCCCCAAACCGGGGTCACAAAGGGCAAAATCTGGACGGGGGTCTCTGCAGGGACGTCAAGAAGGGAGCCGCGTGATGGAAACGCCGCCCTGTTTTCTGTGCAGTTTCTCTGAATGACGGTGAAGAAGACAAGCTTTGCTCAAGTCAATAAATCATGAAACGTCCTTCCTGATCCCGGATGAGCTTTGAACCCAGAGCCAGGAGCTCCCTATAGGCCCCCCAAAGTCAAACTCTTGCTGGTGCCCAGCCAGGTGGTTGGGTAGCCGTTCCTTGAGCTGTCCCGTAAAGCAGGGGTCTCCAACCTTTGCTTTGCTGGCTGGGGAATTCTGGGGTTTAAGTCCTCCAGGCTTAAAGTGGCCAAGGTCGGAGACCCCTGCCGTAAAGGAGATGTCCTGTGGTCTGTTTCACCACCATTCTGCCTACAAAAGAGGAGGCCTCCTTCTCAAATATTATTAACAGGCACGAAAGATCAGGTCCCCGCTTGAAGATCCAACCAAAGTGATCCATTGCTAAAGAGCTTCCGCGCATGAATCTGCTCAGCCAGTGGTTAGCGCCTGGCTAGTTAGATAAGGGTCAATGGCAATCAAGAGAGGTTGGACTTAGTTTGCTTGTGGCTACATAGGGATCCTAGGCTGGTGCCTCTCTTGACTCCACCTCCAGATTCCGCCATTCGAAGAGGTTGACTTCTGTGGTTGGTGTTAAGATTGTGAAGTGTACCCCCCCCCAGAGGAGGAAGCTCACCTACGTAACCAGCAAGTACTATGTTGGGAGGAGAAACCAGTAGATCTGGAGGGTGCCAGCTTGGAGAAGGCTCTGCAACTACCTGCCATAGCTTGGCAGGCAACAAAGGAGCCAGTTCACCAATTCCCGCTCCTCACCACATCCCTTGAATGCCATAGAGCTAATCATGGCTTGTAACAGACGCCTGTCAGGCTCAGCATGCAAACATGAACCTCTGAGTTTGAAGGGTTCATCTGAATGGTTTTTTTTCCTTCAGATTAGGGTCGCGTGACTTGAACACAGCACCTGGATCATTTTCTGATCACATTCTCCATTCCTCCCCCCCAGGGCTGACCAACCTGGGCTGACCCGCATCCTGACCCCCAAGTTCCTGGCTCATCACAGCCAAGCCAAGACCAGGTGCCACTTACTTGTCCAGCTTCTTGCAGATGGACTCGTAACTCTGGTCCAGGAGCTTCCTCTTGCAGTTGAAGCGGTCCCCATGAAACCGGGCCTCCTTGTTGGAGACTTTAAAGCAGCTGCGTGAAAGGAGGCGGTTCTCCCGATCTCTGAAGTTGTTGACGGCCACCAGGTCGTTGCAGACGCGGCTTTTCAGAGGGTGAGGCCCGTTCCTCATGTGCCGAAGCACCACCAGGATGGCGCAGGCCGCCAGTAGCAACGTCAGCAGCCCCAGGGCGAAGGAGATGGCCAGGGCAGTAGGGAAAGGTCCCTCGGCCATCCATGGGCTGCTGACGGGCGTGGGCAGCTGGACGCGGAACTCGCAGCTGGAGCCCATGAAGCCGGTTGGACACTCGCAAACGTGGCCGGAGAAGTGAGTGTAGCAGGTGCCACTGTTCTGGCAGGGGTTGGAGCTGCAGGCGTCCATGCGCACGCTGCAGTCCTTCCCCCCATAGCCCAGGGTGCAGGAGCAGGAGTAGGAGTTGGGGCCGTCGATACAGGTGCCCCCGTTAGCACAGGGGTTGCACGCACAGTCGTCGATGTTCAGTTCGCAGCGGGAGCCGGCAAACCCCGGGCGGCACTTGCAGAACATGCTCCGGCCAAGGTCCAGGCAGCGGCCACCTGAGATTGAAAGAAGGGAGACGGTTGCTGAAGTCCACCAGGACATTCCTTGCTGTGGCTGATGTGCAGCCATCTCGGCCCTGGTCGTGGGGGAGGGGCAGGGGGAGAGGCAGTACGGAGTGTGTCACCACCTGGATCGTCCACTCAGGATGGACGCAAGGATGAAGGGATGGAAGGAGACCCTGCCAAGAGATCTTCCACATGGAAGAAGGGGGTCAACCTGTCCTCCAAAGGACCAGAAGGAAGGGCAAGAACCAACGGATGGAAACTAATCCAGGAGAGGAGCAATCTAGGAGAAACTTCCTGACAATTAACCAGTGGAACAACTTGCTTCCAGAAGTTGTGGGTGCTCCCTCACTGGAGGCGTTCAAGAAATTTGGACATTTGTCTGGAATGGCATAGAGTAAAGGTGTCCAACCTTGGGAACTTTTAAGACTTGTGGACTTCAACTCTCAGAATTCTGGGAAGTCCACAAGTCTTAAAGTTCCAAGGTTGGAGACTGGTGGTCTTGGGTTTCCTGTTGAGCAGGAGGTTGGAGGAGAAGACCTCCAAGGTCCCTCCCAATTCTGTGATTCCGTTCTCTACGTGGAGTCCTGAGCTCAAGGAGACCATTGATGGTTCTGGCCTTGAAAGAAGCTGCAGTTAATGGGTTAGACAGGAAGGTCTACAATTGTTCCAACAGTTAAGGAAACCAAATGTAGGTTAGTCTGCTCTACTGTAGCTACTTATGGTTGCGAAAGGTGGACCTTAAAAAAAGGAAGACAGAAAGAAAATAGACTGTGCTGCTGGAGGAGGCACCTGTGTCTTCCTTGGACAGCAAAGGAGACCTACAAGCATGTATCAGAGCATGTAACACCAGATGTGTCACGGAAGGAAAAATCACCAAATTGTGTCTCACTTACTTTGGCCATGTCATGCGGGGGAATTCAATTATATTTGGAAGACTTAGCGGTAAAAGGAGACCAGATGGCCAAAGAACACGATGGAGGAAGACTCTCAAAGTTGACACCGGCCAAAGCATAGAACAGGGGTGCCACACTCAAGGCCCGTGGGCCGAATCCGGCCAGCGGGGTGCTTAGATCTGGCCGGTGGGACCGCTCTGGAAACAGCAAAGGACCAGTCCATGGTGCCTCTGCCAGCGAAAACGGAGCTTGGGAAGAGGGCAACAAACTACTAGCAAAAGTGGCATTTGACCACACAAGTGACGTTGAGCTGGCCAAACCCATCCTGACCACGCTCACCTCGGCCACCCAAGGTCAAACACAACCCTGATGCGGCCTTCAATGAACTCGAGTTTGACGCCCCTGGCACAGAACGATTCAAAGAAGAAGTGCAAGATTGGAAGATGTGGAGAGACCCATGGAACGGTCAAGACTCCGGCTTGACTGAATGGATAACATCATCGTCATGATCTGAGAAGCAGAGAAGGTGGGAGGACCCTGTACTTTCACCGCAGGTACAGGACAGTTGGACATCATGGTGGAGAACATGGGTGGCTTCTGGAAGGAACGATCGCTGGAGATGGACATCCATAATTTGAAGCAACGAGAAGAAAACAAAGGTGGGCTTTCTACAGAGGTCCTCCCCTTAGAACAGTGTTTCTCAACGTTGGTAGCTTGAAGATGGGTGGACTTCAACGCCCAGAATCCCCCAGCCAGCAGCGCTGGCTGGGGGATTCTGGGTGTTGAAGTCCACCCATCTTCAAGCTACCAACGTTGAGAAACACTGCCTTAGAAGATAGGGCACATTTGCGAAGCCCTCCCTGAAACAGGAATCGTTCTTCCTCATTCCTAGGGAGATCCATCACCATGACACCCCAAGATCAACCTAGGACCTTCTCCTTCACCTTCACACTTACCATTCAAACAGGGGTTGTTGCTGCAGCGGTCTATCTTTTTCTCACAGTTGGAGCCGTGGTAGTTCAGGGGGCAGCGACACGTGTAGCCCCCCGAGGGTTTCTCCGTGCAGGTGCCACCGTTGAAACACGGCCCGTCGGCACAAGTCATGGCGCTGATCTCACAGTTCTTGCCGTAGAAGCCTTGCGGGCAGGTGCACTTGTAGTCGTTCTCCAGGTCCTGCAGAGAAGAAGACGACCACCAACTGTCAGGGCTTTCTGGCCAAAGTTGGAAGGGTGGGAGGGGACGCAAGGGGAGGGGCCCTGCCTCCTGGAGGAATCCAATGGAGTCCCTCTTTATTACAGTCCTAGATGATGCCGGAGAATATCTAGTCAGAAGACGGTGCCCAAGTGAGATGGCTGTGCTCCCTGTCCTGCCCCCACCAGCACCACCTCTGCCTTGAGGGTTCATGAAGGCAGGAGAAAAAGTAACGGATGGAAGAACATTCAAGAGAGATCCAACCTACAACTCAGGAGGAATTTCCTGACCGTGAGAACAATTAACCAGTGGAACATCTGGCCTCTTGAAATGGTGGGTTCTCCAACACTGGAGGTTTTCAAGAAGATATTGGACGGCCAATTGCCCAGGATGGTGTAGGGTCTCCTGCTTGAGCATGAGGTTGGACTAGAAGACCTCCAAGGTCCCTTCCAACCCCATGGTTCTATGTTCCTACTCCCACTCCTCTTAGCCTGAGAGCTAAGATATGCGCCAAAGCAAGATATGCCAAAATATGCGCCAAAGCAGTCTTTGGATCCAACCCATTTGCTCCATCTCAAGACCACTTGGGCAGACATAGAACTGTAGCACTGATGGTGTTACCTAGTTGGGTCATGAAACGTCTCCAAGAATACCACCAAGCTCAGAGAACACCAAGGACCCCTCATTTCAACCCAGAACTACAAATATTCTGTTGGTGACCTCTACCCTGTTCAAGGGTTCCTTCTGCCCCCCCAAATTTAGAGCCTGGGTAGGGAGATGAAAAATGGTTCTCCCCACCAAGGGGGACATCAAAGGAGTAGACCAGCCCCATCACATGCAATGTGGCCACAGAGAGGGGCATCAATCAGCAGGCATCCCATCTTCTGCAAATCTCGCTCACTCACACCACCCAAACCAAGAAAAGTGAACGTCCCACAGGCTGGGCGGGGGTGGGGGTCAAGTCCATTGCAGTCAGCCAGGCAAGTTGGGGTCCCTTTCTTCCCAATCCAGCACCCTAAATGTAACCCCCACGTAGAACCTGGCAGGTAAGGGCCCTTCCCTCGTCTTGTGTTTCCATCTGCAATACACCTCTTTCCTTCCCTTGCACGTTGATCTCTTGTGGGGGGAGGTAATTGTGGGCTGAGGGGGGGGGGCAAGATGAAAGCTCCCATCATAGGAAAAGTTGCACCCCGTTTTTTAAAATCTCCTCCCTCCCTCCCCCTCCCCAGTCTTCCTTCCAAGCAGAATTTTCAGTCCACGGCCGAAGGAACTCTAGGTAGGAACCTGGAATCCCACAGGATCACCCTGTCGCTTCTCAAGGCTGAAGTAGATCTTAGAAAGCTGCTGAGGAGAACCAGGAAGTGGTGCAGGGCCATTCATGAGCATCCCCCTGCTTTCTGGGACACCCCGGTTCCCATGCACGTCCACGGGCAGAGTGGGGTCCTTCTAACATCGGAGCAACGCATCCAAGGGGCCACAGCTGCCATTGACAGTGAGGACAATGCTGGCTTCCTTCCTCCAGAGGTTGTAGGTGCTCCATCACTGGAGGTTTTCAAGAAGGGATTGGACAACCCTCCGTAGGGTTGTAGACCCTGAAATGGTCTAGGGCAGGGGCCTACAACCTTGGCAACTTTAAGACCTGTAGGTCTTAACAACACCCAGAATTGTCCAGCCAGCCTTGGATTAGAGGTGTCCAACCTTGGCAACTTTGGTAAGACTGGATGGGGAATTCTGGGAGTTGAAGTCCACAGGCCTTAAAAGTTGCCATGGCTGGAGACCCCAAATGTTTCACTTCTCACCCAAGAAGCTTCTTCAGCTCTGAAGCGAAACGTCTTCAGAGAAAAGCCAGAAAGTCCAGGTGCCTCTTGGAAAAGCTCCTGTGGGACCTGGAAGATGGAGAACCTCCATAGATACCCCTGATCTAGGGTCTCCTGCTCAAGCAGGGGGCTGGACTAGAAGACCTCCAAGATCCCTTCCAGCTTCTTATTCTGCCCTCCGTGAGATCTTAAAGCAGAAAACGGGCTGCCTTTTTCTCGGTCCCTCGGAGGGAGCCTGCCAATGCTCAAAGTGGCATCTCTGTGGCACCCCTAATGGTGCCCTCCATGCCATCGTCCCCTGTGCCAGCCTCAGAAGGGGCCTCCTTCCCTCGGATGCTCACCACAGCCGGGTCTTCCCCTGGGTCGCAGCTGGGCCTGCCTTTCGCAACACCCCAGAGGCAGCCCCCACCAAGCCCTTTGGCACGTATGTACAGGGAGTCCCGGACTTACAACAGCTCGCTTAGTGGCCATTCGAAGTCACAAAGTGGCTTATGATCATTTTTCAGACTTATGGCCGTTGCAGCGTCCCTGTGGTCACATGATCAACATTCGGACTGACTCGTATTTATCACGGTTGCCGGGTCCCGGGGTCCCGTGATTTGGTGACCTTCTAACCAAGTCCATGGGGAAGCCCGCTTTGCTCAACGACCGTGTGACTAACTTGACTAACTGCAGTGATTCAGTTATCAACGGTGGCAAGAAAGGTCGTAAAACGGGGCAAAACTACTTAACAACCGTCTCACTTAGCAGCAGCAGATTTGAGGGCTCAATTATGGACCTAAGTCGAGGACTACCTGTACAATAGACATTTCCTTTGTCCTGCGTCCTGTTCTTTTGTTTGGTTCCCAAAATGCTGGCCATTAATTGTGCGCTGCTGGCTGGGGGATTCTGGGAATTGAAGTCCACCCATCTTCAAGCTACCAAGGTTGAGAAACACTGTCCTAGCTCAAGGGGAGTACTCCAAATTCCCCCCAGCCACTCTCTACATCTGCCTCCTCCGGGTTCTCCCAACCTCAGGCTCAGTGCAGCATCAGGAGGAGGAATCCCCCCACATCTGGCCAATTGCACTGCTGTGGAGGGTCCCACCAGCTGTTGGTGGCTGCTCCGGCCCCCTCCCTTCCTTCCTTCCTTCCTTCCACTCTCCTGTATTGTTTTGATCTGCAATCCTCTTTGGGGGAAGGGTCCCTCAATCTGCACCCCCCCCCAAGTCCTCGCCTTGCCTTTCCCCATAGAGCCCTTCCAGGTGTGCTTGCCCACCCCCCACATTACTTAAAAGCTGGAGGCTGGGGGTATATAACCCCTTGCTCAAGCAGTGGGCTGGACCAGAAGACCTCGGAGGTCCTTTCCAACTGTTAAAGGTGGGTCGGGGGTGGGTGGGCTCTTCCTTTCCGGCACCCAGCATTTCCTACTCATCAGGTCATTATAAAATATAGATATTTGATGTGATCCCGGCCCCTCCCCCACCATATAGGTAGTCCTCAACTTATAACGGTTCATTTAGTGACTGTTCAAATTTAAAACGGCCCTGAAAAAAAGGGACTTATGGCCGTTTTTCACACTTACGACCATTGCAGCATCCCCATGGTCACGTGATCAGATTTCAGATGCTCAGCAACTGGCTCGTATTAATGACGGTCGTGGCGTCCCGAGGTCACGTCATCCCCTTTTGAAGTCAATGGGGAAGCCCGATTCACTTAACAACCGTGGGACACACTGAACGACGTGATTTGTGTGGCCAGAAAGGTCCTAAAATGGGGCAAAGCTCCCTTAATAACGGTCTCGCTTGGCTACAAAATTTGGGGCTCTGGGTTGGTCGTAAGTCGAGGACTACCCATAGATCGCAAGCTGGCCTGGCTTTAGATGCTGTGACTTCCTTAATTCTTTTTTTTTTCCCCTTCCTGAAAATTCCTGGATCCCTCCTTAAGAGAGAAGAGCCGAAACCCAACCGAGGCGGCTCACTGGGGCCCCAATGCAGCTCTGAACAGGCAAAGACCCCCTTCAGGTAGATTCCCCCCCTCTTTGCAGCCAGGGGCTCCCCAAAAGCTCTGTGCTCACTGGAAGAGTAGCTGAGCGTCCTGTTCCTAGGACACCAGCCACACCCCAAAAGGCTGATCTTTCTCTGCTCTTGACCCCAGAAGACCCCAGGGCTCACGTTCCCTTAAATGCTTGGTTTAGTGTCACGGGGTCTTTTATATCTATCTATCAGTCTATCAGTCTATCTATCTAATCTATCTGTCTGTCTATCTATCTAATCTGTCTGTCTATCTATCAGTCTGTCTGTCTGTCCGTCCATCCATCTGTCAGTCTATCTATCCATCCATCTGTCTGTCTATCTATCCATCTATCTCTCTGTCTGTCTATCTATCTATCTATCTAATCTAATCTATCAGTCTGTCTGTCCATCCATCCATCCGTCTGTCTGTCTGTCAGTCTATCTATCCATCTATCTATCTGAGTGGGCTCCAAAACTCCAAGAATCTACCTGCACACAACACACCCGCCAGTCTTAGGCTGTTTTAATTTCCCGAAGGACCACCTATGGCCGGGGTCTCCAACCTTGGCACAACTTTAAGACTTGTGGACTTCAACTCTCAGCAAAGCTGGCTGAGGAATTCTGGGAGTTGAAGTCCACAAGTCTTAAAGTTGCCAAGGTTGGAGACCCCTGTTCTATGGAGATGCTCAGCCATTTGGGTCCTGGTTGTCCCAAAAGTGCTTCCCCCCTGCCCACCCCCAAAAAAAGGAAACTAGACTTCCTTGCTTCTTTTTTCCCTTTGAAAACGTTTTGCTTCTCCTCCAAGAAGCTTCTCCTGTTCTCACTGACTGTTGGGGAATGGAAGGTTTTATATTGTTTGCGGTCAACTGGTGGTTAGCAGCACTTTTTCCGAGAGCCGTTGAGACCGCTTGGATATAATAAAATCCTTCCGGAGTTGAAGTCCACTCATCTGAAACTTTTAAAGGTTGAAAAACGCTGGCATGCATGGACTTCTCAGCTATGAAAGATCTAAATTCGCCTGGCCTTCAGAAGTTGTGGGGTCTCCATCACTGGAGGCTTTTAGGAGGAAACTGGACGGCCACTTGTCTGAAATGGTCTAGTCTAGGGTCTCCTGCTTGAGCAGGGGGTTGGACTAGAGGACCTCTAAGGTCCCTTTCCACTCTGTTAAATCTGCTCACAAGCAGAAGATAGCAAGGAAAGCCAGAAGCATCCCATAAACCCCAACCCGTAGATGCCATTAGGCAGGGGGAAATATTCTGAATGGACCTGAAGACTTATTAGGGTTCAAACCCCACCCCCCCCCCCCCCCCGAAGTTTGGGATTGTCCACTTTACACCAAATGCAGCTGCCCTCGCTTTTCTCCTCTGCTCAAGTGGGGCAGTTTCCTACAAACAGCCGACTGGATTTGCATGTTCTGTCTCTCCAGGTGTTGCATGCACCTGCAGCCCATGGACCACAATCCCCTGCAAGGCATGGACCTCCAGGGTAAAAAAAAATCCCTGAAAATTAAGGAAATCTCATTGTCCTTTTTTGGGGGGGTGAAGTGGGAAGAGTGGTGCTCCTAAGCCATCTTCAGCCCCATGGAATGCTTTTCATGGGCCGCTTAGCCAGGACTTTTTGTTAAACCCAGGTTTGTCACAATATGCCAGTTTTTTTTCTGAACCTCAGTAACTTTAAGCTAGGCGGACTTCAACTCCCAGAATTCCCCAGCCAGGATGCCCTATACCAGTGTTTCTCAACCTTGGTAGCTTGAAGATGGGTGGATTTCAACTCCCAGAATCCCCCAGCCAGCAGCGCTGGCTGGGGGATTCTGGGAGTTGAAGTCCACCCATCTTCAAGCTACCAAGGTTGAGAAACACTATACTCTGCATTTCACAGCCATGGGCAAATCAGAGGCCCACATAAAATATGTTGTCTTCCTATCCTAACTTCCCTTTTCTTTGCTTTCACCCAAGAAGCCCCTCGCACGCATGGTGGGCTTCCAACAGAGCCCCCTCCCCTCTAGGCCTGCTTTCTGCAGAACGAGGGTCTCCCTCGGCCTCCAGCCGCTCTCTGTAATAAGAGGCAAACGCTTCCCCGAAGACGATGGGAGAGTTCTTGATCCCCTAAGTAAATGGGTTGAACTGGGAAATCCAAGGGGGGGCTGCTTCACTCAGGACTGGGACCTCAAATAAATCCACAGCAGGTACAGACCGGGGGAAGAAGAGGATTTGTGAAAAGGACCTGGAATAGATGAGCGAGAGCCAGCAACGTGACGCAGCAGCGGGAAAGGCGAACGCCATCATCAACAGCCCCGAGACAAGCCCAGTTTTTAAATCATGGAATCCTTGGACTTTGGGTGCTGGTCTTGATGCCACAGGTTAAACGCCCACACTTTCACGCTTCTAGAAAACCGGTGCCAGTTAAGAGGAAGGCCGCGAGGATGAGGAGGGGCTGGGATTAAACCTTGCGGGGCAGAGGGGAGAGACCGCAGGGAGCAGGACCACTCAGCTGGGGACTTTGGGTCACTCATTCTCTCTCAGCCAAGCCCACCTCACAGGGTTGTTGTATAGGGGAAAATAGGAGGAGGGAGGAGGATTAGGTATGCTCCAGTTATATACAAATAATAAAGGTGGGATTAAAAATTCAAATAAATAAATAAACCACAGGGCTTTGCTAGCCATCCTCCATTAGCTGCAGACTACCAGCCTCAGTCACTGGAGCCAAATGGGTCAGGAGGAGAAGGAAGGAAGGAAGGAAGGAAGGAAGGAAGGAAGGAAGGAAGGAAGGAAGGAAGGAGAAATAAATAAAGAAATGAAGGAAGGAAGGAAAAGAAAAAAGGGAAGAAAGAAAGAAAAGGAAAGGGAAGGAAGCATAAAAGGAAAAGAGATGGAAGGAAGGAAGGAAAAAGAATAAAAGAAAGAAAAAAGGAAGGAAGGAAGGAAGGAGCCTGAATGCAGGTGGGAAAACTCCACTTCAGAAGTCAGAGGTTGGTTGGAACCAGAACAGGAAACCCCCCTCCCCAATCCTCCCTCCTTTAAGCAAAGTTTGTATTTTTGGCCACTATACAGCACTACATGGCCGCCTTCTGGGATATTTTGTTTGTTCCAGCCCTGGTGCATTACTAAGTGGTCTCCCATCCTTCATTCCCCCTCCCCCCTCCCCCCCAAGACCAGGCGCAGGAACCCACCCAAGAGGTCAATCAACAGAGAAGAGTCAGGGTCATTCGGGCAAAGGGAAAACATGGGGCAGAGTTACCCTAACGAGTTGTACCCAGCCACCACAGCAGTGAATGCAAATTCTTTTTCAGATCCTCCTGTCGGGGTCTGGAGCTAGGCTGCCCGAGTGCCGAGGGACGGTCAGGACACATAAGTTGGGGTACTGAGCAGAAAAGCTCTGGAAAGCAGCCAGGGACCTACCTGAAGTTTGCATCGGGCGGGAGAAATCCCCCAAATAAAAGAAATATGTGGCTTCTCCAGAAGGTGACACCCCACCAGTCTCCCCTCCCTCTCTGGTTGCAGGCCAAGCAGCCTTGCTGCCCCTCCCCCAAATGTGTTCCTTCTCTCCCACTCCTTGCCCCCAACCCTTCGGAAAATCTGGGCTCTATGATGTGCTTTCGATATGACAGGAAAAGCTTTGTGCTTCTCTGACCCCCAATTTGTAGTTCTGTTTTTTCAAGTGAGGAATTTGGGGAGGAGAAGCCCCCCCCCCAAAACCTTGCAGGCTCCATGCCTTCTTCCTTCTGGACCCCGAGGAGGGAATCACTTCCCAGTGGCTGCCCTCTCCAATCCTGGGGGGCAGCTTTGGGGGCAGAGACCGGCGTGGGATCTTAAACACCACCCCCATTTTTTCTGGCACCCCCTTCCAAATGCTGAGAAGGAAGAGAGACGCCGGGGGTCCAGCTGCTCCCCACTGCTCTCTCTAAGAATCGTTTCTTGAAGAGGTGTGGACTTCAGCTCCCAGAATTCCCCAGCCAGCACGCCAGAATTCTGTAAACCGACTGACGAATTAAATGTACTCATCACCCATCCCGCCATGAGGCAACTTTAGGCGGCTACCGTGGAAGTCCACCGCTGGGGAATTCTGGGAGTTGAAGTCCACCCCTCTTCAAGCCACGGAGGTTGGGAAACATTGCTCGGCCAATGCCCAGCAGTCACCACCTGGGCATCTGAGACTCCCTGTCCTCCAGAACAGGGCTCTCCAACCTTGGCAACTTTAAACCTGGCGGACTTCAACTCCCAGAATCCCCCAGCCAGCAAAGCTGGCTGGGGAATTCAGGGAGTTGAAGTCCGCCAGGTTTAAAGTTGCCAAGGTTGGAGAGCCCTGCTTCAGAGGCCCCTCTCATGGGCCAGGCTAGCCAGGGGCCAATTGGGGGCCTGACCCAGACCTCCATCCCTCTGCTTTGAAGGCTGAGGACTTGCCCTGGGGGCAGGTGGGTGGGTGGGAAGGAGGGTCAGAGGGCAGGAGTGGAGGGGTCAGGGCAATACTGACACTGCAGCTGCCTCCATTCCTGCAAGGGCTGCTGTCGCATTCGTTGACTTCCACCTCGCAGTTGGTCCCCACAAAGCCCGGCGGGCAGGTACAGGTGTAACTCCCTTGGCCCGTGTTGGTGCAGGTGGCCCCGTTCTGGCACGGGTGGTGGTTGGTGCAGTAGTTGAGGTCCTGGTTGCAGAAGAGCCCCCCCCAACCCTCCTGGCAGTTGCACTGCCAGGGCTGCAGGCAGGAGCCGTGCAGGCAGCCGGGGTAGCGCACGCATTCGTCGCAGGAGGGGCCCTGCCAGCCGATCCGGCACTTGCACTCGCCGGGTTTCTCGCAGTAGCCGTGGCTGCGGCTGCACTCGGCCAGGCAGATGGCTGCAAGGGAGGAAGGAAGCAGGTGAGCAGGGAGGGGGGAACATTTTTGGGGGGGGCACAGAGAGAAAGAGAGGGAGAAAGAGCGTTGCTTTTCCTGCTGGCGAGACAGCAGTTGTGCCAACCTTGGGCATTGCTATTCGGCTCCAACCGTACCAGCCTGCCACCCCCCCAAAAGCCAGGGACCCTCAGGTGGCCCGACTGGGCTGGACCGTGCACCCCCTTTGCTCCCCTGTTTCTTGGGAGCAAAAGTGGAGGTCCTGGGGAGAAAAGGGGGGCACAGTCCCACATGCAATCCATCCACCCACCAGTCTCCTCCCTCAGCCGAGGGGCTTCCCAGGAACAAAGGGAGCTTGCAAAGAGCTCGCCTGACCCTCCCTAATTGCCCCCTTCCCCGTGCAGCCCCTCCCGGGGAACTTAACCAGCCCCTCCATATGTCAGGGCTCGGGAGTGGGGGGTGGGTGGGCTTTGTCCCTCAATTAAGCCTTTGGGGGTGGTGGAGGAGGGGGCATTCTTGCAGAGAGATCTATTCCCACGGAGAGGGACTAGCCGAAACAGCGCTGAGCAGGTGTTTCTGTCCACAAGTTGACCCTTCTGGCTTTCCAGAGGTGAAGACTTTGGGGGTGCCCCTTTGGCCTTCCACCCTCCTCTCAGCTTTCCATCATGTCCTCTGGATATTTCAGGGATTGGGACCAGAGCTTCTGGAGGGCCAACAGGTGGAAACTTATCAAGGTGAGATCCAACTTAAAACTAAGAAGAAATTTCCTGACAGTGAGGACAATTAACCGGTGGAACTACTGGCCTCCAGAAATTGTGAGTGCTTCATAGCTGGAGGTTTTCAAGAAGAGATGGGACAACCATTGGTGTGGAACAGTTTAGGGTCTCCTGTTTGAGCAGGGGGTTGGACTAGAAGACCTCCAAGGTCTCCTCCAATTATATTATTTTCTATTCCAGCCGTCTCCAACCTTGGCAACTTTAAGACTTGTGGACTTCAACTCCCAGACTTCCTCAGCCAGGCTTGGCAGGGAACTCTGGGTGTTGAAGTCTACAAGTCTTAAAGTTGCCAAGGTTGGAGACCCCTGCTCTATTCTATCGGCTGCAAAAAGGGTTGCGTCTCTCCCAGTTGCAATCTAATGCAACTTTGCTATAGCTTGGACAGACAGAGCGTCTTCCAGCCATGGCTGAGTAGCAGATGGGTATCCTGGAGGGAGGGGCCGAGGCAGGTGGGGGAACCAAAAGAAGTGACCACGTTCTGTTTGTAAGAAGGAAGGGGAGGATGGTTTGGGCTATCCTGGCTTGCTTTCAAGCTCCCTCCAACAACGGCCAGCTCAGGGTATCCCGTTCCCCAAAGAGAGCTGCCCGGTGGGACCATTGGCTGATCTCCTGCTCGTGATCCCTGGGATGCCCCATGGAAGTCGGGACGTCCCTTCCGAAGAAAGAACAAAACTGCCATTCTGAACTGTGGTTTGCAAATGTTTCCTGCCAAACACGGGGAGAAGGGAATGGTCTTATTTTGAGGACCCTTTTGTTATGGGGTCTTTTCTGGGCTAAAAGCTGGTGTGTCTTCAGGCAGCCACATCCAAAAATCAGATTATGTGCACCCCAAAGCTCTTAGAATAGGGGTGTCCAACCTTGCCAACTTTAAGACTCCCAGAATTCCCCAGCCAGCCCTGTCAAAGGAGGCTTACAATCAGTCCTCGCATTTATGACCATCGTAGCATTGCCACGTCACATGATCGCAACTTGGGGCGCTTGGCAATGGCCTGTATTTATGATGATTGAAGCGTCCTGGGGGTCATGTGATCACCTTTGTTTTGTGACCTTCCCAGCCAACCTCCAACCAACAAAGTCATTGGGGGAAGCTAGATTCAGTTAATGACCACATGCTTCACTTAACAATTGCAGAGATTCGTGGCGTAAAATCAGGCTCACTTAACCACCACAGAAATTCTGGTCCCAAATTATGGCTGTAAGCCAAGGACTACCTGTAGTCAGGAAACAGGCAGATTCTGAGGGGGGAGGCAATGGGGAGGGTCATTCAAAGACCTTATTTATCTCCCCCACCCCCGATATATAGCAACATCCCTACCATTTTTTGGGGGGGGAGGGGAGGGAAGGAATAAGATGGAAGGACTTCATTACTTCCTTTGCCCGGATGCTTTTTTTAAAAAAAACTTCAATTAAACCCCAAATCTGGGATGGCCACCCGAGGAACCAAACCTGAATGCCATTTTATGTGCAATTTGTTTGCACCTGAGGCTGCTTCTGTGTCACCTGCAGGCCCTTTTAACGGTTTTCTTTTTAAAAAACCAAGGAAAGGATTTTTTGGCTTCTGCTGCAGAATGTGGACTTTTCAAAAGTTAAAAAAAGAGCCCAGCATTTCGTCTAGTGTCTCCCCCACCCCAAGTACCTGTCCCCACTGCTGGGATCTCACCTGCAGCCTTCCACAGCTCAGGTAAAGCAACAGCCACACGGAGCTGCTCTGCCCTCTCGTTGTGGCACGAAAGACCCCCCCCTGCCCAACTGTAGGGGTCAATTGAGGCTGGGGTTTTGTCTCTAAGGGCTCAGCTGGCACTAGGGGTATGTCCATGTAGTCATTTGGGTCTGGGGGCAAATTGGTGCTCTGGGGGCTACATCTGAGGGCTCAATTGGGTCTGGGGGTTTGTCTAGGGAGCTACGCCTAAGAGCTCAATTAAGTCTAGGGGCCATGTTTAAGGGGTCAGCTAGGCTGGAGGCTATGTCTAAGGTGTCAATTGGGGCTGGGGGATTTGTTTAAGGCCTCAAATGGGGCTGGGGGCCATGTTTAAGAGCTCATCTAAGTCTAAGGCAGAGGTCTCCGAACTTGGCAAACTTTAAGACTTGTGGACTTCAACTCCCAGAATTCCTCAGCCAGCCATGCAGTGTTGGCTGAGGAATTCTGGGAGTTGAAGTCCAGAAGCCTTAAAGTTTGCCAAATTTAGAGACAAGGACTCTACTGAGTCTGGGGGCTTTGTCTCAGGGTCCAACTGGGGCAGGCCAGGAAACTGAAGCCCCTGGGGGGTGGGAGTGGGCTGGCCCTTCCTCGCAGGCACCCCTTCCCGGCTACTCACGTTCCGAGCAATAGTCTCCCTGCCATCCGGCCAGGCAGATCCGGCGGCCCAACTCATCACAGGTGTAATGGCCGAAGGTGTCGTCACGCGGCCGGCAGTAATCGGAGCAGCTCTCCCCGTAGTAATGCTCATCGCAGGTGACGTGGTAGGAGTAGCGCAGCTCACTCTGGTCACCCAGCTGCACATCTTGCGACCACTCCTCGCCCACCGCCAGGCGACGTCGAGTTGCCAAACGGCTGATCAGTCTCTGGGCATCCTCTGGACGAAGAAAGAATGGAGGGTCAGCAGACCCTTCGAAAGGAAAGGAAGCCAAAGAGACCCCCACCAGAAAGCAGCTAACAACCTCTAAATTAATGTTTCCCAACCTTTGCAACTTTTAAGAGGAATAGATTACAATTCCCAGAATTCCTGGCTGCGGAATTCTGGGAGTTGTAGTCCACAGATCTTAAAAGTTGCTAAAGTTGAGAAACACTGCTCTACAGGCTATTAAAGCTGGAGAATTGCTATGAATTTGGCTAGGGGATTCTGGGAGTTGAAGTCCACACATTCTTAAAGTTGCATGGATATAAGGATAGTCAAATGGGGATGGCAATTCCTTTCTCTCTGTCGTATTTGAAAAAATATTATCACAGGCCATAATGGCTGGGCACCCAACCCAACCTGTTGAATTATGGCCTACAATAATATAAGGACTCAACCGCCCAACCAACAAGTTTTGCAGTTAATATATTTGATTTAGAATGAGAGTAGAGCCCACTCCCTCCTAGCACTGATGATGTTCCCTAGTTGGGTCATGAAACGTCTGCATGGAAACCACCAACCACAGAGAGCACCAAGGACCCCAAAATCTATCGGTCTTTTAAAAAATAAAGGAAACATTCATTTCAAAATTTGTGAGGAACAGAAAAATGTTTTTATGCCTGCAGAGTCGCAGTTGAGTTCCAACAATTTTTACAGTTTGATCACAAACTGGGTGTGAAGGACCCACCAAGGGGAGGGGGCAAGCCTGCCTTACCTGTGGATGGCTCTCCTGATTCAGCCCTCCAGGATTCAATAATGAGGGAAAAAGTGCCCTGGGGGAGAAAAAAAGGTGGGGGGGAAATGTTACAAAATCCTGAAAGGGCTCTACAATCATTGTACTGGCTCCTGTTAGAGCAGTGTTTCTCAACCTTGGAAGCTTGAAGATGGGTGGACTCCAACTCCCAGAATCCCCCAGCCAGCGCTGCTGGCTGGGGGATTCTGGGAGTTGAAGTCCACCCATCTTCAAGCTACCAAGGTTGAGAAACACTGTGTTAGAGGCTCTTCTGACATGAGCCAAAATGTTGCCTTTTAACAGAATAACAGAATAATAAAGTTGGAAGGGACCTTAGAGGTCATCCAGTCGAACCCGTTGCTCGAGCAGGAGACCCTGTACCATTTCAGACAAATGGCTGTCCAGCCTCTCTTTAAAATCCTGCAATGTTGGAGCACCCACAACTTCTGAAGGCGAGTTGGTTCCGTTGGTTAATTCTAACAATTAAAGAAATTTCTCCTGAGTTCCAGGTTGCTTCTCTCCTTGGATAGTTTCCATCCGTTGCTTCTTCTCCTGCCTTCTGGGGCTTTGGAGAAGAGGTGGACCCCCTCCCTCTTCTTTGGGGCAGCCCCTCAGATATTGGAAGAATCCTACCATTGTTTTCCCTACTCCTTCTCTTCAGTTCTCTTCGCTCTTTCAATTGGGCTGTGTTTTTACAAAAGGCAACTGGACTGTTTTTTCTGGCCACAGTCATTAAGGGAATCGCTACAGCTATTAAGTTAGGAACTCGGTCGTGAAGTGAGTCCAGCTTCTCTATTGATTGTTGCTCATCAGATGGTCACAAAAGGGGATCACATGACCTAGGACATTGCAACGGTCATAAACATGAGTCAGTTGTCAATCGTATGAATTTTGATCACCTGACCACGGGGGATGCCGCAACGGTCGTAAGTGTGGGAAATGGTCATAAGTCACATTTTTGGTGCCGTCGTAACTTTGAATGGTCACTACATGAGGTGTTTTAAGTTGAGAGCTACCTGTATAAGCCAACTTTGTTGAGGTGGACAAACTCTAGATGGAGGATAAAACATGCTGAACTGTCCGTCCATTGTGGAGTGAAAGACATCAGCAACAAACCAGAGAAAGGCAATGTTAGTTCCAAAGAATAAGCCATCATTGGCGGAAACATGGTTTGCTCAGAGCAAATGTTCATACAACATGGCAACCATTGACTAATGAAAGGATGTCCATACTAGCCAGACAAAACTGCCCTCTACACAAAACTGAGTGGAGATGGTTCTTTCCCCCTTGCCCCACTAGGGGGCAGCACTTCACCATCTTCACCGAAAGGTAAACCGAGTCAGACAGAGTTGCTCTCAAATGGGCAAACCACTAAAATACTCGCCCATCATGACTTAATAATTTTTTTTTTCTTTTTAAGACATTTAAGATTTGCCACTCAAGACAAATCGCTCTTTGCCCATGGCAAAGAAAACTCGATATATAAGCACCCCAAAGTCGCCAGGAGCCTTAAAGGAGAGGCTTGTTTTCGTGCCTAGTTGGGATCTCAAGGATTTGCGCAAATCCAGTGTTAGACAAGTGAAAACCTTCGTATTGTGAGGACGCCGATCTACACAAAGGAATCAGCAGCTTCCAAGTGTGCGCAGAACCACACAACCACACAAACACTGTGTATTCCACAGCAAAACCAGACTTGTGACTTTCGATGCTTAAATATTCCCTTCTCAATTTCCTCTCCTCCCCCCACCCCCCCGGCTCAATCTTCCTTTCCAGGGACTGAAAGACGGGGTCAAAAAAGGAAGCAGAGTAGTTTATTGATTTGCATCCGGCCTTTATTGTTTTTACAAAATAACTCAAGTTGGCAAACATCTCTAACTTCCTCCTCCTATTTTTTCCTGCAACAATCACCCTGCGAAGTGGTTGGGCTGAGAGGGAGTGACTGGCCCAGTCACCTAGCTGGCTTTCATGGCTAAGGCAGGACTAGAACTCCCAGTCTCCTGGTGATTGACATAAAAACACCCAGCTTTCCTCCCTAAAGCAGCACTAGAACTCACCATCGCCTTATGAATGTCCTAAAGTCACCCAGCCGACTTTTGTGCTTCAGGGCAGAAAAGGGAAGCTGAAATTTTTGCCTGGTCAAGAGAGCTTAGCTCATACCAACTGACCCTCCCCTCAATTACGCTGTAAGGCAGAGCAAGGCCATGACTTCTCCAAAGAGTGACCAGACCCATCTCCCATGTTGCCATCCCTTCTTCCAACTTTTGTGTTGCACATAGAAGTAGGATCCTCACATTCCAAGCTAGGAAAGCACCCCAAACCAAAGGACAATAACCCCCCCCCCCATGAGAAGTGATAGGAAGCACAAGGAAACAAACAAGAGCAGGAAATTGCCCCATAGAAGGACCCATGGGGGGAACACTGTCTAAAATCCAGAGTCCTTGGCTACGTGACAGGTGGCAAATAAATTTCATAATCATCATCATCATCAATAAATAAAGCACAGTGGGGTTCTGTGTTTGCTGCAGGAGAAGACAATAGAGGAGAAGGCCGGATCTGGGGAGGGGGGAGGGGGACACAGAAGGAGTCTCTCACCGGCCACTTGAAGTGGAAGGGGACACGGATGAGTCCGCTGGCAGCCACGGCATGACGATCTGCGGGGACGATGTTGCTCAGGGCTGCCCCGAAGGTGCAGGGGGGCTCCGGGGAGACCACAGCCTGGGCGTGTTTGAGGCAGACCCGGAAGAAGAGGCGGCAGGGCTGAGCCCCCTGGCAGAACTTCTGGGGGTTGCTGGTGGTGAAGGAATGCACCTGGAGTTCGAAGACCCCCGCTGGCTCAGCCTGTTTGGGGAGAAAAGGGAATTGAGCGTTTCAGCTACGCTTGGGAATCCTTCCTCCATCGGTCACCTTTCGCCCCGTCCGTGGGTCACCCCAAGAGAGGACAAAGACAAGATCCCTTTGGTTAGAGGCTAAACCATTAAACCTTCTTTACAGACGCCAAGCCAGGATGCCCAGCTCACACCACATTAAAAACCACAAACCTACAATCCAGGTTTACAGAGTTGTTGGATACCAGATGGGTGGAAAATAAATATGACAGACAGACAGACAGACAGACATTCCTATGCAGGATGTAGCAGCTTCCCCCCTCCAAACAGCTGCCTGAAATTCTGCGCTGAAATGAGGTGTTTTAAATCAAACATTTCAGCAAAAAGCATAGAAGGAAGAATTCTGGTTCTAGGAACAGAGTCACTGGGTTGAGTTGGGCAGCTATAGAAATATAAATTGGGTAAATAAATAAAAATAAAAAATAACCAGGATTAATCCAACCCTACAATCAACCTTCCTGGATTCTCGTCTGATTTTTAGATGAGGATCCAGGAAGATTTTTAGGTTTTTAGAACATAAAATATGGACCCTGAGGTCTTCTAATCCACCCTCTGACCAAGGCAGGAGTCTTCATACCATCCTGGTCAAGTGTCTGTCTAATCCTTAAATAATCAGAGCTTTAATCTGTTTGATAAGTTTCTCCAGAAGTCTTTCTGTTTGATTGACAGCTTGCAGAATTTGCAGGAGGAAAGGAAGGGACTGGCTGTCTGAAAGGGCTGGGGGAGGGGGGAACGAGGGCCACAATTCTGTACTGGTAGAGCCTGGGGAGGCCTCCCCCAAGCAAGCCCCTTTCCTGTTGCCCTTCCTTGCTCACTTTAACTTTGAGCTGGGTGATGCCCACAGAAGGAAACCTGAGCTTGAAACCGCCAATATTTCTCCAGCCTTTGATAAAAAAACCCTTGAAGTTCAGATTATTAAAAGGGAGAAGGCGGGGGGGGGGGGCTAGTCCAGGGCACCTGCAGCAGCAAGGTTAGATTTCGAAAAGCAGCTGTAAATGCCAGGATGCCAGCGGAGGTAGCTTCTCAGGGCAGGAGAGGAAGAGTCCGCAAGTGGCGCTTGAGTGAATTGCAAAAGTGTGTGTGTGGGGGGGGGGGGGGAGCACCGGGCAGCCTTGCAAGGTAGGCCGGCTCAGGATAGCCCCCCCTGCGGGGATTGCAGGCATGATACTTTATCCCTGCAGGATGCCTTACATCCCTTTCACAGCTTCCCTCCATCCCCGGAGTTTGTAGTGGTTCCTCCAAGTCTCTTCGGTAGCTCACTCACTTCTTTCCATCCTTCCTTCCTTCCTTCCCTTTTCCTCCTTCCGTCCTCTCTCTCTTCCTCTCCCCCTTTCTTTTTCTTTCTTCCTCTTTCCCACCTTCTCCAAGATCCGCTCTAAACTCCTGGATTGAAAGCCAGCGCAGCAGCAGCCCCGGGGTAGGGCTACCCCCCCCACTCCACAAGCAGCAGTCCCAAAGATGCCCTCCCTCCCCCCTCCCCTCCCCTCCCTCCGCTTCTTCAGCGTCCCGTCCGGTCCGGTCCCGGCTGCAGGAAACTCCCGGGAGGGCTCCAGGGGCTCCGCTTGACCCCCGAAGAGCTCCGGATTCTGGGCTCAGGAGGACCCGGAGGCGAAGCTGCGGGGCCGCTGGCTCTCCTTGCTCCGGAGCGCGGCATCCAGAGAGGGAGCGCAGGTGCTCCGACGGCCGAAGCGGCCGCAGCCGGCTGGGAACGATGGGACCGGTCGTCTCTCCATCCCATCGGGCTGCGCCGCTCCTGGAGGCGCGAAAGCGACCGGACGGGCCAGACGGAGTGGCCCCCTCGGCGCATCCCGAGCGAGGATCGCGGCCCGCGCAGCGCACTTACCGGCGGGGCGCCGAGCAGCAGGAGCAGCAGGAGGGGGGCGGCGGCGGCGGCGAGGCTGGGGGCCATCAAGCTGCCTGCGTGGGCCAGAGCGATCCGAGGCGGAGAGGCGGCGGGAGAGAGACGGGCAGGAGTGGCGGAGGGCGACCCCGGCCGGCCTTTTATCGGGCGGACGCCGCGGCCACGCCCCCCCCCCCGAGCCCCCGCCCCCGCCCCGCCCTGCCCGCCCCGCCGTCCCTGCAGCCCCCTCCCCTCTGCCGCTCCTGCCAGGTAGCAACCCACCCGGGGTAGCTTCCCAAGGAAAGAAGCGAGGGACCGCTGCTGCCCCCGAAACGCCCCGCTTCCTCCTTGGACCCCCGTGGCAAGTGGGGGCGACGGCAGAAGAGCGCAAGGCGCCCCCAAACCGAAGCGGCTTTCTTGGGTGGGTGGGAGAGGGGGAGGGAGCCTGGAAAGGTGGAGGGTCTGCTCTGTGACCTCTGGCCACAAGTCCGGGGCACCCCTGGTTCCTGCAAAGGGGGGGCTGCTTCAGCCTAGCCTGTTGCAAAGCCCCGGGAGCACCCTCGACGGGGCCCCTCTTTCTGCCTTAACAAGCCCGGGTTCAGCAGAGCCCCCTCCCCCCTCCCCGCGTGTTGAACCCGCAGCCTCTTGGTGCATTGTGTGCAAATCGCTTGTGCGGCTCAGCGGGCGCGAGTCCCAGAACCGGAGCGAATTCGCTATTGAGACCGGGGAAGTGGGGTCCCTTCCGGGCAAAGCCCCCTTGCCTTTCTTGCAACCCGCAGCGACTTCACAAAGACCCCCTTCCAAGCACTAAAAGAGCTGATGGGGGGGGCGGCTGGGAGGGGCACCGACAGAACGGTTTTATTCCCTCGAAAGGGCTGGGGGAGGGGCGGCATCAGCTGTATGCTAATAGCAACACCTGCCCCCCCTCCGGAGTCTTTCTCCCCCCCCTTTGCGAGCCATGGACTTGTTGAAATTGGGTTGGGGGGGGCTGATGCAGTCAGCTCTGTTCAAAGCCATGCGGTTCTCCACCAAACTAACTTGGTTAACCGTCTACATAATTGTGAAATAAGATTTGTGATAGGCTTTAATCCCCACGTCTCTTTCTGGCCGCAAAGGACTTAAACCTGTACAGTCTCACTCCTGGGTGGGTGGGGGGGCTGATATTCAAATTAATCAAGGAAGCTAGCATGGCCAACAGGGGGCCCCTCCTATTAATTAATGGCACACTATGAATCTCAATTAATGGCATCATTGGAATCCTATGGAACATTGCAGGAGAGGCTCAAAATCAGTTCAAGATCATTACATCCCAGGAGCCATGGTTATTGCTATCTCCATGGGATTAAATTGTCATTATCAACTTTTCCTGTGAAAATAAATAAACACAAATAAAAATAAAATAAAACACGAAAGGTATACATTTATTTTGCTAATGGGCATCCTTCCTACCAGGGCAAAATATAAAAGTAAGAAGAGAATGGGAAGAACTACAAAGGCCCTCAAAGAGGAAGAGGAGGAGGAGGAAGACGACTGTGGGGTCCTTGGTGGTCTCTGAGCTGGGTGGTTTCCTTGCAGGCGTTTCATGACCCAAGTAGGCAACACCATCAGTGCTAGAAGGGAGACAAACCAGACAGCAACCTCCCTCCCTCCTAGCACTGATGTTGTAACCTAGTTGGGTCAGTGGGGAAACAGGTCGAGGAGATTTAATTTCTACCTTAAAAGTGGGGGGGAGGAAGATCTGATCATCTCCACGGATGCTTCGTTTTCAGCCGCTTCAAAGTTGGACTTCAGACTTTATCCCAGAGCAAAGGCAGCTTCCCAGTTTGATCAGCAGCCTGGAAACCCAGAATGGGCCCTCCCCCCTGTAGGAAGCCCAGCGCAGCTGCTTCTCTGCTTCCACACTTCTTTCTTGCCTTCAAGCAGAGGGCGGTTTTTGGCCCTCTCGGTGCAGGGTGAGGGGCTTTGCATCGGCTGCCAGCGGTAGCAAAATCAGGTTTCCACATCAAGCCATCGTGCAGAGAAGAAACCAAGGAAGGAAGAGGCTTTGGCAGAAGAAGTTCCTGCAAAATAGGATCAGCCCGGAGGGGGGTAGGGGGGCTGCATGCTCTCTCCATGCTGAAATTCAGAGGAGAAATCCACCAGCTTTGTCCGAGGATCCGTCCAGATAATTAATTGCAAGAATAAATATTTGCATATGGTGAATAATTTCTTCTGCTTTAATGGTGCAGATAATAGATCTCACCACAGAAGCTGCCTATCTATCTATCTATCTATCTATCTATCTATCTATCTATCTATCTATTTCTATCATCTATCTATCTAATCAATTAATCTATCTCTATCATCTATCTAATCTCAATCTCTATCATCTATCTATCTAATCTCTCTATCATCTGTCTATCTAATCTCTTTCTCTATCATCTATCTATCATCTATCTAATCTGTCTATCAGTCTCTGGACTTTGCTCTGAGTCTCGTCATCTTGAGGACCAGAAACTTAGAAAAGGAAGGACATATCAGGGACTTCCAGGTCTCTTTTTGGCCGGCAGCTTCCCTGGAAGGAACTCGGCCATTCTCCAAAGGTCAGGGATTTCTCGGCCCCCCACCCTCTCCCCCAGAAGGCCTTAATGCTTTTCCCAGGACAGGCTCTCTGTCCTCCCCTCCTCCAAATGCATTTGCCAGGCGGAGGTGTCGGAAGCAACAGGAAAGGTGTCAGAAGGGGGGGGACAGAAGGGGGGCTGAACTCAAATTCCTGCCATGTGCCTGCAGAGTGTGAAATGCAAGGGGGGGGAAGGGAGAGGCACACTCACATTCACACCTGGACACTTGGTGGAGAGGAGGAGGGTCCCCCACAGGCTCAGAGGGAAAACACACCTGTTTCCCAGCAAGGACAGAAGCTCCTGGGGTGGGGGGGGAAGGGGAGGGGAGATCCTGAGCTCTGTTGGGTCCAAGGAAAGCTAATGGGTCAGGTTGCTTTTCCCAAGGTGGTGGGGGCCCTGGCCAGGGAGGCAGGGAAAATAGGGTGATGGGCTGTGGGGGAAGAGGGGTCCTTTCTGGCATTAGGGCCAAACTGCGGGCTCCTTTCCCCTAGATCAGCTTGCCAAATTCTGCTTAAACCTGGGCTGTCTAATCTTGGCTACCTTAAGACTTGTGGACTTCAACTCCCAGAATTCCCCAGCCAGCACAGCACAACTGGGGAATTCTGGGAGTTGAACTCCACGAGTCTTAAAGTTGCCACGGTTGAACACCCTTTGCATTAGTTAATGGTTGCCGTGTTCCCTAAACCCAGACATTTGCTCTAAGAAAACCATGTTTCGATCAATGATGGGGAATTCTGGGAGTTGAAGTCCAAAAGTCTTAAAGTAGCCATGTTCAACACCCTTGGCTTAAACCAGTGTTTCTCAACCTTGGAAGCTTGAAGATGGGTGGACTTCAACTCCCAGAATCCCCCAGCCAGCAGCGCTGGCTGGGGGATTCTGGGAGCTGAAGTCCACCCATCTTCAAGCTACCAAGGTTGAGAAACACTGGTTTAAACCAACCACTGGATATGTTGACTTAATTGAAAGAGCTTTGCTGAATCCTAAGGCTGCAAGAGACATTGGAGGTCCTCTAGTCCACCCCTGTGCAAGGCAGGAGTCCTCATCCCATCTCAGATAAACCCTTGTCCAGTCTTTTCTTGAAGACCTCCAGCGATGGAGCACCCACAACTGCTCGTATCTCAGAAGGAACCCTCCCTAGTTTCTTGAGCTGCATAGGAGACGTGGGGCGAAAGAGACGCCCTTGCAAGATTCGCGTTACAGACAAAATGGAACAAGTCACCGGTCATGTTTCCCTTCTGGTCTACCTGGTAAGGCTGACCGGGTGGCTGCCCAAGCGTGCTGGGATGATTTGCCCTGCTTAGCATCAGCAAGAGTGGCCTTCTCCCGGAAGAGCAGCCAAACTGCTTTCAATGGGCCCATTGATGCCAAAGCTGGCCTCCCTTCCTCTGCCGTCCGGGGCTCTAAACAAGCATTAGTCTTGCATTAGGCGCTGGGCATGTCAAAATATTGGCACTGCCAGCGCAGAAGGACGAGGGCAATTAAAGCCCGACAAGAAAAGGCTCTTTTTCCTTGGGGACGTGGAGGACCAGAAAACGGCCATGTTTAAAAGCATCTGTGTTTGCCAACAAACGAACGGAGCGGAGGATCAAGGAAAACCTGGCAGCTTTTGCTGTGTTGGTTGGCCCTCCGAGTGGCACGTTTGGCGAGCGGCGCTTTGTGCCTCCACCACGGAGCAGCAGAAAATTGGTCTCCTCTCTCCCTCTTTCTCCTCCTCTCCTCTTTGCCAACTCCACTCTCTTCTGGCATTGATGAGACTGCCTACTTGGGTCATGAAATGTCTGCAAAAAAACAACGAAGCACCAGGGACCCCAACACCTGGACTGTCCACATTTTGGGAGCCAATTAATCATAATCGTAAGTTTATTTGTCAAGCATATATAAGATAACAGGTAAAAGTATAAACATAATTGGAATACATGAAAAGAGTAAGTAAAAAGGAATATTAGGACAGGGACGGAAGACACGCTGGGGCGCTTATGCACGCCCCTTACAGACCTCTTAGGAATGGGAATTAGAATTCCTCTTTCCAAGACTGCAGCAAAATTCTCCCCCATCCCACTCACGCCCTCCCCCCACTAAGAGATCAGGGCTGCCACGGCATGGCACGAAATACTGACGAGTTCTCTTGGGGCCAGCTTTCCAACTCAACACAACAGACACACACACACACACTTCCAAGGGATGTCAGCAAGGAGGAATTGACAGCTCCTGGTTTTGGCTTCTGTGTTCTCTGAGATAAGCCAGGAGGGTCTCAAAGGAGGGGAGGGGCTGCAGCAGGGAGATGCAACTGTGAAAACAATCAGGAGGACCCTAGGTGTGTAGCCTTAGGCCAGGGATAATAGAGCCATCCTTTGCTCTGCCTACGCAGGGGCCGAGTTAGAGGGGCAGAGACGTTGGTTGCCGAAGGCCCTGGGTCCCTCCCTCCACCAGCTTTCCCTAGGCACGAAGGCATCCCAATTTGGAATTTGCCCTTGCGGTCCTGTGGAGTTGTAGGAAGGGGCAAAAGGTCCCTGCCCTGGAAGAATCTACAGATTGCAAGTCTCAAAGTTTCTTTTTCTTTTGTTTTTGCCTTGAAGACCTTTCGCTTCTCATCCAAGGAGCTTCCTCAGTTCTAGACTGAATGTTCTAATTCATTCATTCATTCAGAGGAATATTAAGAAACAAACATGGATTTTTGCCCCAGGATGATCTATTTATCACTTTTGGGAAGATCTGGGATAGTTAAGATGCTGTGGTAAATTTTATTCGAGTGGATTACAATAACAGTTTGTTAATGAGTTTTGAAACTTATTGTTTTTCCCGTTAACTTTATCACTAATACAACCTATAGAAAACAGGTCAACAAACCGTTAACAGATTTAGTAGTTTAAAAATTGGGGAGGCCTGTTTCGCAAGGGGTGGGAACTAACGTAGTGATATATTAATCAGTATTCAACTAGAGGGAATAATATGTTTATAATCTAATGTATAATGCACCTTTTTAAAATGTTCTGATCGCTTTGTTTGTTTGTTTTTTCTTGTATGTCTCCTTGGATTTTTATTTGGTTTTGTATTTTGTATTTTAACTTTGTTCTCAATAAAATAATAATAATAATGAAAAAAAAAAAAAAGAACTGAAGAAGCTTCTTGGATCAGAAGAGAAACATCTTCTTCCGTAAGGAAAAAGCAAAGTCCAGGTGCACTTTTGGGACACCCTGACCTGGATGGCTGGGGTCTCCAGAGACACACAGATTTGGGGCAGATTGTGGGAAGAGAAGGAGGACTGAAAGGATGGCGGCAACCAGATGATATTCACAGGATGACACCGTACTGGTCAATTCCATCTGGATCTGCTCAGAGTCCTCCAGCCCCCTCCATATGCAGACCCTCTACTCTTTCCCCCTTTTCTCTCCCAAGCAGGCAACTCGGGATGGTGTGTGGTGTGTGTGTATATGTGTGACAAGGAGAAACGGAGGAGGAGGAGGAGGAGGAGGCGAGGGTGGGCACAGACTCCCTCCAGTCGCAATGAATAGGAGGAAATGCTTGGCGTTTTGTCTCCAGCTTGTCTGCCAACCGCAGCCTGGGCTCGTGGGGGGAACGGCTGAGGCCCCTTAGAAGAGGAGAAAGGCAGGCCAGCCCCCTCCCCATTATTTTAGGAAACGCTGAGCCGTTATGAGGAGGTTGGAAATGATTTGACCCAGACAATCTTGTGCCCTGCTCTTCCGGCAATTGAACGGCTGGGGAGCAAAAGCGCTTCTTGGATCGAACAGGTTTATTTATCTTTCTGACCCGCGTGATACGATTCCAACATAGCCGCCTTTCCTGGGGGTTGACAGACAGTTCAGCTTCGTAATAAAGGAGAATATTTGTAGTTCAGGGTTGGCACGAAGAGTCCTTGGGGCTGGGTGGTTTTCTTGCAGACGTTTCATGACCCAACTAGGGAACATCATCAGTGCCAGTAAGGAGTGCAGTTCACTGTGCACAGGGTTTACTAGCACTGATGATGTCACCTAGTTGGGTCATGAAACGTCTGCAGAGAGGCCCAAGGACCCCACAGGTCAGGCGGTCACTGTGCTGCTTTAAGGGACTTCACCTACTTGGCTAGTCCTCGACTTACGACCACAATCGAGGCCAGCATTATCATTGCTGAGGAAGGCGGTGGTTAAATGAGCTGCACCTGATTTTACAACGGTTGTTAAGCAGCTCGCTGAGGTCACCTTTGGTGCTTTCTGAAGGACCTTGGGTCACGCGTCTCAAGCTGGTCCAGCAAAGATTTAGTCAACTCCTCACGTCTTGGCTGCTTTGGAGACCTGGATCTTATAGGGTAGCCCTAACTCTTGAAGGACAGCTGGGCTCCTAGTAGATCCCAGGAGAGCCATTCTGAAGCCAGAGGCGCAGGGGATCTACAGTGGCTGGACCTATGGTCGGCCACCTCTTCTACTGAGGCCCTACAGTAGAAGGCTCGGATTGTCCTGCACAGGACAGAAGCAGGGGATCTAAGGGTGGGTGGGAAGCTTGGAGAAGACCCAGCCCACCCCCACCTAGGATAGGAACGCCCCACACTCCAGCATCCCCCCAAGTGGCCTTCCAGGTTCTGCTTGAAGGACATTCCCACCGGCTTTTATGACACCTGCCCAGCATCCTGACGATGGAGCCACACCGGGTTTTGACGTCCTTGTTTTGCAAAGGAGAATCTTTGCAGCCCCTCACCCCCCCCCCACCCGTCTCGGCTCCCTAGTCTCCCCCTCCTCCTCTTCCTGGAGTGGAGGGGAAGGGTGAGGTAACGTCAAAAGGTCCAGGAAGCGGATCTATTATCCAGGCCAAACAGGAAGCAATGAGACAAACCTTGGCAACCTTGGGATTTACTTGTTTACTTCAAGGGGGGAGGGGGAGGAAGAAGAGGAGGAAAAGGTGAAGGAGAAAAGGAGGAGGAAGAGGAGAAAAGAGGGGAAGAAAAAGGGGGAAAGGAGAAAAGGGAGCGGAAGGTGAAAAAAAGGAGGATGGAGGACCCGGTATAGAAGAACAGCGTCCCCACCTCTAAATCTACTCTATTACCAACACCTCTTCCCTTATTTCCAGGGCTAAGAAACATCTGTCTAGCTGCCACATCTGGATGGCTTCCCAGCTCCATCTGACTTGCTCCTGGGCTCCTGCAAGGCCCCCCCACCCCACCCCACCCCACGGCTTCCTCATCAGTTGTCTTCTCCTAGCTACCACAGCCCAACAATCCTTTCCTGAAACTTGCGGAGTAGCTGCTCCACAGGTCTTTGCATGCTGTGGTTCTGAGTCGCTGCAGTAGTAGCTACGCCAGGGGAGAAGCCCCGGAGGTCCTCCCTCATCCCCTCCACCCTCCTCATCTACTGGTGGTCCCTGACAGCCGAAGGCTACTTAAGGCTCGTTGCATCTGGAAAGGGAAATCTGGGCTCTTCTTGCGTCCTTCTGGGCCTGGAATGGCCCAATCAAGGAAAAAAATCAAGGGATTTTCCATCGGCCTGGCCAGAGCAGAGCAACCTGACCTGGCAACGTGGAAGCTAGCAAGAAGCCATCTTGACCGGTGTCCTGCCAGGTTTCTGCCCAGCTGATGTCCTAAGCCGGTGCTTTTCAGAGTTGGCAACTTGAAAGACGGGTAGACTTCCCTTCCCAGAAGAGCTGGCTGGGGCATTCTGGGAGTTGAAGTCCACAAAGGGGCCACGTTTGGAGACCCCCCCCCCACCCCCGGTGGAAGAAGAAACCGTTCCTGCGACAGAAAAATGGGCAAAGTTTGGGCCCCGGAAAAAAAGCCCCTTCGGGGGCCGTCCCCCCCCCCCCCCCCCCCAGCACTTTCCGGCTGCTTTCCTTTCCTGTTTACAGCTGGTCTCAGCTTCAAGACAAAGAGCTGCCCCTGGTTTCTCAGTGGGGAGATACTGAGGATGGGGGGGAGGGGGGAAGGCAGACACAGGGCAAGAAAACCCGGACGTCAGCCTGATGGACCAACCCTGCCTGGCCTTCTTTCTCCTCCTCTTCCTCTTCCCCTCGACTCAGGCAGAAACAAGGCCTGATGTAGGTAACCTTCTAGCACTGATGATGTTATCTACTTGGGTAGGAAAACGTCTGCAAGAAAGCAACCCAGCTCAGAGAGCACCAAGGACTCCACCGTCCTCCTCCTCTTCCTCCGCCCCATCTCCTCCACTCTGAAAAACCCACTCCCTCCTAACACTGATGATATTACCTAGCTGGGTCATGAAATGTCTGCAAGAAAATCACCCAGCTCAGAGAGCCCCAAGGGCCCCACAGGAGACTGACATAGCAGAAGCATCGTTCTTATAAAGATAGCCATTTATTTGGAGGGGGCCCTCCATTCCTTTCCATTCACCCCAACAGGCTGACCAACGGCACCGTCTGTCGCCCAATGGGAACATGATAACAAGGGATGAGAGCCACTGGAGAGACCACCTCCCCCTCCCCCTCCCCCGGCTGCAGTTTTTCCTCCTTTTCGTTGCCGCTGCAGTCAGGCTCCTTTCTTGGGCAGGTGATGGCTTGGCTCCCCGGCCCTCCTGGAGCCTGACCCCTTCCCAGGGCTGAGGGACAGGCTCCCTTTCACCCACAAAAGTCTTGGTCTCAAAAAATGCTGCTGCCGCCGCAGGAGGGGACCTCGGGGGCAAGTGGGGGCAGGTTGTAAGCCCACCATCCGTGTCCAGCTTGGGCCGAAGTCTGTGCCCCTCCAGCTGCAGCCTCCCCGAGAAGGCCCCTCCCCATCAGGCCAGGGGTCCGAGGGGCAAGAACGGCTGAGAAGTCCATTCGTGGATGGGGGCGGCTGGTCCTGAGGGGGCCCGGAGTCACTGCTGCTTGGAGCGAGGCCACAGCCGGCTGGCCAGGGAGCCCAGGAAGAGCTGCTGCTTCTTGTGTTGGGTCAGGTCGGAGAGACGCTGCTGTTCCTCCTGGGAAGGGGCACAGACACCGGCACTGCCGTCATCCCCCGCAATGCAGCCCAGCCGGGGGTCTCGGAAGCCATGGCAGCCCTGTCCCCACCCAGAGGGATTAAACCAGAGCCGCCCAACCTTGGCAACTTTAAGACCCGTGGACTTCAACTCCTAGAATTCCCCAGCCGGCATGATACAGGCAGCCCTTGACTTAGCACCGTTTGTTTAGTGACCGTTCAAAGTTACGACGGCACTGGAAAAAAGTGGCTCATGATTGTTTGTCAGCGTTAGGACCGTTGCAGTAGCCACATGGTCACGTGATCAAAATTTGGATGTGACAGCTGCCTTTGTCCTGGGGTCACGCGATCCCCTTTTGTGACCTTCTCAGCGGTCTTCCAACAAGCCACGTTGGTGGGGAAGCCGGACTCATTTAATGACTGCATGATTCACTTAAGAGCTGCAGGGATTCACTTAACAGCAGTGGAAAAAAGGTCATGAGATGAGAAGCCACTCACTTAGCAACCACTTTGGTTAGTGACGGAAATTTTGGGCTGAACTGTAGTTTTAAGGAAGGAGAATCTTTGTAGCTCAGGGCTGACATGAGGGGTCCTTGGTGGTCTCTGAGCTGGCTTGTTTTCTTGCAGACCGATTCCTAGTTTGGGTAGTGAAACGTGTACAAGAAAGCCAGCCAGCTCAGAGACCATCAAGGCCCCCACGTGAATTGCGGCTGTAGGTCAAGGACGTCCTGTGATTCCCGCCCCCCCTTCTCGCTCTCACCTGCTCCAGCTGGGACTGCCTGCGTTTGAAAGCCTCCAGTGGATCTTCTTCCAAGGAATAGTTCTCCAGCACAGAGCGAACGTCTTCCACTCCGCTCATGGCGATGGCTGCAGGCGAGAAGAACCACAGATGAGCTCCAGGTGGAGGGATCAACCCAACAGCCTGGCTTTCTTCCTCCAAGGCACAAGCCTCTCTCCATTCGCACCCTCTGCCATCTGCACCCGGGATTCTCCAGGCCAAAGCCTGGCCAGGCCGGGGCTCAAAGCTCCCTCTGGATCTTCTGGGAAAAACAGCTGGGAAGGGAGACGGCTCAGGGTGAGGGTCGCCTCTGGCTTGCCTGCTGGTTTCCTTGAAAGCCAGGCCTCTGCTTGCTTTTTGAAAGGTTATCACAATAGAAAATGGAAATGGAAATAAAGATAGGGAAATAGGGGAGGGGAAAAAAGGGGAGGGGGTTAAAGAGAAGGTGTCCATTTCCAAATTTTTTTCAGGGCAATAAAATACAAAATAAAATAACCTCCTCATATTTTTTTAATTTTCCAACTTGACAAATGCTAGACATTCCTATAACTGCAAATGGCCTTAATTGGTGAAACCCAACATCCAAAGTTCGTGTTTTGCCCCGGGCTCACTTTTGAGGAAGGCCGACAGGTCGAAGAGGGTGCGGTCGTCAGAGTTCCCGTCCCACTTCTTGAGGGCCAGGCCGTTGAAGGGCTGCAGGCGGAAGGCCTCCTTCTTGCAATCCACCACCACCACCTTGGCCGGGTCCCTGTTCAGGCAGGAGATGTCCTGGGGGAAGCAAGGAGACTGGCAGGTGGGACCTCTGACCGTTTAGGCTGCATCCATCCATCCATCCATCTTTCTCTCTCTCTGTGTCCATCCATCCATCCGATGAATCAATATTTATGTCTTCTCTGTCTGTCCATCATCTATCCATCTACTTATCATCCATCCAATCAATCAATCAATGTCATCCGTCCGTCCATCTTTCTATCATCTATTCATCCATCCATTCAATCAACATGTTGTCTGTATCTGTCTATCCATCCATCCGTCCACCCATCCATCCACCATCTTTTAATCAACCATCTTTGGTAACTTTAAGATGAGTGGACTTCAACTCCCAGAATTAGCCAGCCAGACCTCTCTTTTTCTCTCTCATCTATCTATATCTCCATTTTTAAAACCGCCCATCTCCTTCACAGAGGGACTCTGGGTACTGTACAGATAAAATATCAAAGCATAAACAGAGAATACACAACTGAAAGTGTAAAGGCAAGGATAAATTAAAATGTTTGGGAAAATTAACTAAAAGGCTGGGATGAGGGGGCTTTTAGGGTGCTAGCCAGTCCCGTGGCCCCGGGCCCTCTGGGGCTCCTCCAGTGCTTTCAGAAAAGTCAGCTGGCTGAGCAAACAAGGGGAGCCGGAGAGTGTGCGTGTTTCCCCCTCCTTCCTTCTGTGTGGCCCAAGGGCATTCAGAGGGGATCCGGCCTTCAATGTTCCTGGCAGGGAAATCCCCACATCCTCCCACCATTTTTCCTCCTGCCTCGTTTCACAGGATGACAATTCGGAGAAATTCTGTACAGGATTTTTCACGTTGAGACTCCTGGCTGATGCAAGGCTGCATGGCAATCAAGGTTCTTTGGACTGGATGACCTTTTAAAAAATCCTAGAAATGAACTGGGAGAAGCCTATAATTCCTCACACAGTCCGCTTGATTGGGATGAGCTTTAAGATAAATAATGCAAACTGCCTTAATTGCTCAGCTGTTAAAGCAGCGAGGTCTACTTTTTCATGTACAAAATACTCCAAAATCCCAGGCCCTCAGGAAATAAAAATAATCAACTACACTGGAAGTTAGTCATTAAGTCGTTCAATCAACTAGTTTTCTGTGTGGTTTCCCCCCCCCTTTTCATTTGTTTTTGTTGTCTTGCTGGATTAGAGCAGACTTGGTTTTTCAACAAATCGCTCCGGCTTCCAAATCTTTTTTTTCAGGGCAAAAAAAAAGACCTCTGGGGGAATTGGGAAAAAATTCCCCCCCCCCCCCCCCAACACATAGTGAAAAATGCCTTCTTTCAAGCTATGTTTAATTGCCTGGCTGGCTTGTTCCTTTTGTATTACTTATCGTTTTATCATAAAAGATAAAGTGCAAAATAGAAAAAGGAACAAACAAAACAAAACAAAAGCATGCATTCAACACTAAAAATGACAAAAAGGAAAAAAAGGAAAAAAATAGTTTACAAAAAAAAAAACTGGAAAAAAATGATCAAATAAATTTAACATTTAATATGTAGGATATACTCTGGTTGGGAGAAGAGAAGAGAAGAGAAGAGAAGAGAAGAGAAGAGAAGAGAAGAGAAGAGAAGAAGGGGAGGGGAGGGGAGGAGAAGAAAGGAGAGGAAAGGAAAAAAGGAAAGGAAAGGAAAGGAAAGGAAAGGAAAGGAAAGGAAAAGCAGTAACAAGCCCGGCTGTCTTATTTCAAGAATTCCCCCCCCCCCCCCAGATCCTTGAGCATTTGGACTCAAATGAGTGTTTGCCTCTTTTTCCATCTTTAATGCAACCGCCCAAGAGTGAGGCTGCTTCCCCCAAGAAGAGAAAACCTCCCCCTCTGCCCCACAATGCTTACTTGGGGAGGGGGGAGAAGAATCCAAACAATTAAGATAGGGAGAAGGCCCCCCACCAGCAGCAGATGGGAGGTGACGGGGAGGGGGGAGGCAGCGCAGAAGACAGACAGAAGGCAGCTTTCCCCCCCCCCCCCCCCTGCCCCCCCCAGCTAAGCCATCCTCCCTCTATTGTGGACAGCCGGCCCAGGGGACTTGCCTTGTGGAGCACGTGGCCAAGGCAGCTGCTCGCTCAGACTGCGGCCTCATCCAGAGAGGCAACAGGCAGCGGAGGTCGAGGGAAAAGGCATTCTGGGATGCCAAGAGTGGGCCCACGGCAGGGGGAGGAGGCCCCGAAGGCAAAGGCCCCGAGCCCTCAGGGAGGTTTGAGGTCCTGTACTCCTTTTCTTGGAGGCAAGCCCTGCTGGCTGGACTCAACGGAAGCAAATCCTCCAACTGTGCGTTTGGGAGACGGTCCAGCCGAGTTGGAGCCAGTCAACCAGTTTGGCCTAGTGGTTAAGGTGCCAGGCTAGAAAGTGGGAGAAGGTGACTTCTAGTCTTGCCTTATGAATGAAAGCCGACCGGGTGTCTTTGGGCCAATGACCAGGAGATGGTGAGTTCTAGTCCTGGTTTAGGCATGAAAGACAACTGGATGACTTAGGGCCAGTCCCTCTCTCTCTCAGCCCAACCCACCTCACAGGGTGATTAGTGTGGCAAAACAGGAGTACGATATTGTGTTGGAGATGTTCGCTGTGGGATACAAATAAATAAATAATTAAAATAAACCAACCAATTTTGAGGGATGCTAATACACAATTACTTGTGTCCCTGTGTATTATTCAAACAGCCAGACAAAGCCAGCTTGTGATTCACTTAAGAATTGTGGTAAGAAAGCGTGAAAATGGGGCAAAAGCCCTGCATAACACCTGTCTTGCTTAGCAGTAGAAATTTTGGCTCCACTGTGGTCGAGGACTACCTGTGCCGTGATAAATTTGGAGAATTTACAGCACATCGTGCTGGAGCCCTACAGCCAAAACCAGCCAAAACCAAAGCCTTCCAGACCGTGCTGGAGCCGTACCTTCACGTGATGCCCATCCATGTAGCGAGTGGCGTCTCGGAAGAGCCGATAGGAGATGAAGCCGTGGGGATCCACGCTGTCGATGAGGGGGAAAGCTGTCTGGGAGAGGGGAGAGAAGGCCCAGAATAATTCTCAAAGGACTTTAAAAGAGGTCGAGGTGTCATGAGCAGCATCAGCTCCAATCGAAGGACGTTAAAAATGGTCTGGCTTGGAGGCTCTCTGGGCGCTCTCAGGAAACAGCTTCCGAGGGTGCACAGCCAAGCCTGCGCCTTCCTTCTTAGAAAGGATGGATCACAGTTGCTTGACAGTGGGACGGGCAGCATACAAGTTTAATAAATAAATAAGAATAAATTGAGTCAAGCAGGAGATATCAAGGGGGAGATACGGTGATCACACAGGGGACAATATTCACCCACACCGGCTGAAAAGTGGCAGCCCTGAGCAGAACATCTACGATAATACTTAGAATAACTAAGATATTCTCACAATTTCTCAGATATTTGCCAAGCACGGGAAAATCGGGAAGCCCAGGCAGTTCAAATGAATATAAAGCTTTATTGAGAGCTTACGCTCTTCACGCAAGAATCTGAACTACTAACGGTCAAAGCAAATTGGTGGCAGATAAGAATCAGCGGAAGTTGAGGGGGGCTGGAGTTAGATCCCTTGTGGGCACGACGAGACTCAAGACTGATGACATGTTTGACCCCTCCTTCCCTCGGACTCAGCCTGGTCACCTCCTACAAGTAGTCCTTGACTTACAACAGTTAATTTAGTGACCGTTCAAGATTATAATGGCACTGAAAAGAAGTGACTTATGACCATTTTTTACACTTAATGACCATTGCAGCATCCCCATGGCTATTTCATCAAAATCCGGACGCTTGGCAACTGAGTCATATTTATGACGGTTGCAGTGTCCCTGGGTCATGTGGTCCCCTTTTGCGACCTTCTGACAAACAAAGACAACGGGCAAGCCAGATTCACTTAACAACCATGTTACTAATTTAACTACTGCAGTGATTCACTTAACAATGGTGGCAGGAAAGGTCGTAAAATGGGGCAAAACACTTAACAAATGTTTCACTTAGCAACAGAAATGTTGGGTCTCAATTGTAGTTGTTAAGTTGAGGACTATCTGTATTCTTAGAATATCTAAGTTATTCTTAGAACATATAACATATTCTTGAGATTATTCAGAATACCTAAGATATTCCCTTGACTATGTACTTCTTCTCAAGGGGTTAACAGAGTCCTTAAGCAAGGAGCTGTTGTGAATTGTGACACTGCCTGCCCGTTTTAGGGCCGCAGCTCTGGATTTGACCTAGCTGGATCCCATGAGTTAACTAAGTGCCCAGAAGGCAGAGGTGGATGCTGGTAGCCTTTTCCCTGAGCGGTTCCTGACCTTCGGGGTGAGGACTGGGGTGCTGCTTTCTCCCCAAAGACAGGCCCACTCAATTAGCACAGCAATAGTTCGGATTCAATAGGCTGCAAGGCGCAGAGAGGGGGCCATTCACATTCAAATGAGCCACGGCACGCTCCCTGGGAGAGACCCCACTGCCACCACTCAAGCGTGAGAAAGGAGGAGCGTGGAAGGGAAGAGAGGGCTAGGGCTAACCGGCTGTGCTAAGCTGCCCCTCCCTCTCCCCCTCTCTAGATGGCCTGACATGGTTTAAGGTTATCCCCTGTGGTCACTCTGCATCTGTGTGGCCAGCATGGGCATTGGACACAAAGTCCAGGCCGGCCTGCAACAAGCTGGATCGCCCTTCCATTCCTTTGCTGGGACATTCATGTCCAGTTCCCCCAGTCGGGCACAGCAATGGCTGGAACAGGGTTTGCTAGTCCAGCAGCGGCCAAAACCATAAGGCAGTTTTAGCTAAAGCAGGGGTCTCCGAAGTGGCCAACTTCAAGACTTGGGGACTTCAACTCCCAGAACCCCCCAGTCAGCCAGGATTCTGGGAGTTGAAGTCCCCAAGTCTTAAAGTTGCCCAGTTTGGAGGTTCCTGAGCTAAAGAATCTTTTTAGGGCTTAATTTAAAACTAAATAATGGATTTTAATTTCAATAAAAGGGGACAGGTTCATTCTGCATACTCAAAGCCTCTTTAAAATGGGGGAGAAAAGAGGAGCTGAGCACTCTACCTCCCAAACCGCTTGGCCAGCTGGCAGGGCCCATCCCTGGAGCACTCACCATGCCCGTCTCCGAGGTGAAAATGACGATTTCGTAGAGAGGAGCCAACTGCTGGAAGAGGTTGTCGATGCCCGGCCTTTTTTTGAAGCGCCAGCCAGTCACTAACTGAGGACAGGACAGAGAGAGAGAGAGAGAGAGAGAGAGAGAAGAGAGACCTTGAGAGAAAGCTAACACCAGCTAGGCAGTAAAGACAATGCCCAACTAACCCCCATCGGTCCTGGCAGATATTCTGGTGCTTTTCTTGCAGATGTTTCATTATCAAACTAGGTAAAATCAGCCCGCTCCCTTCTAACCCTGATGATGTTACCTACTTGGTAATGAAACGTCTACAAGAAAAGCACCAAGCTCAGAGAGCACCAAGGATCCCACACAATTCAAACTGTTGGTAGGTGGGTCAGGGTGGCAACTAAGTGTCCGTCCTGCCCCCTGGCTCTGAGGGGAATGCGGTGCCCCCATCCCCAATTCCTGGAAAGGATACAGACCGACCATTCAGGGTGCAGCAGGACATCGGTGAGTTCGATGACCAGGGTGTAAGGTGGCTGATAATACGGTTCCTTCAAGGGATCTGGCAGCAACTTAGGGCTGGTGGGCTCCATGATCATCTGGAAAAAGAAACTGAGGCCATGAGGCCAAGATACAGAACGGGTTTGGGGGGGAAGGGGGGGATGCTATGTTTTTTATCCCTGGTTTGGATCAAGGGGGGGAAATTCACCCAGATTGGGTAGTAAACCAGAAAGCTTTAAAGCCGACTAGGATATAAACGCATTTTGGTGCAGTTTTTCATTTGGGAGAATTGTGAAAAGATTCTAAAAATAGTGCTGTCCAATCTTGGTCATTTTAAGACCTGTGGACAGCTTGGCTGGGGAATTCTGGGAGTTGACGTCCACAAGTTGTTTTTTTTAAAATAATTTTTATTCAACATTTACATCTTTAACATCCTTGTTACATTTTTACAGCTTTCCGATACCGGCATCTTTGATAATATCTGTAACCAACTGTATACACATACATTTTATATATTACTTACTAATTTCTATATTCACTACAACTTATACCTATCTATTACACAATAATTATTTCGTTCCTCTATAATATCTTCTCTTACGTTTATACATTTATACATTAATTTTGGATTGTTTCTCCAACCAGTTAAAGCATCTATTCCGTGTCTCGTAATAAATCGTTTCCTCTCGGTCTTTTAATTCCATTGTTAATTTATCTGCTTCTGCCTATTCTAGCACCTTTTTTATGATCATCGTATTTGATGGAGCAAATCCACAAGTTTTAAAGGGGCTGAGTTTGGACAGCCCTGTTCCAAAATAGATGAAACAGGACACTCACCTGACTATAATCTTTGAAATACTTGTATGACCTTCGCAGCTGTTGAACGATCACCACATCTGTAAGCCAAATGGAAGAAAGCCTGTTGCAGGACCAGGGGAAGCATCCCGCCCATTGCGGGTCCCAGAGCCCTGTTATTCTGCAGGTTAAACGTCTCACTATAACCTGACAGGCACCCAGTCCAATACGCCTTTCACTCCTGGGTGCTGGCATGTACAACCGAAGCCGGTTCCAATTGCAGTTCAGGCTACAAGAAATCCATTTTAATGCCCTCAAAAACCCAGCAATATGATTTCTACTGAAAGAAAAAAAAAATCTATTCTATTCTACTTTTTAAGTAGGTATTTTTCTGGGCAGGGAATGGAGGGAGCTGCTGTATATAAAGTTACTTCCAGCTATCGAACTTTATGCTTTATGGTCTCAAGTGGAATAAAATACAGGTGGTCCTGGACTTACAACCATTCTTTTAGTGGCCATTCCAAGTTACAAGGGTGCTAAAAAAAGTGACATGACCAGTTCTCGTAATTACGACTATTGCAGCATCCCTGTGGTCATGTGACCAAAATTCAGGGGCTTGGCAGCTGATATGCATTAAGCAACAGTTGTAGGCTGTGTGATCACCATTTGTGACCATCCCTGAGAAGGAAAGCCAAGGCAGGAAGCCCGATTCATTTAACGACTGCTTGGTCCACTTAAACTGAAATGTTTCACTTAACAAACGTGGGAAACAGGTTGTAAAATCAGGACTGACTCACTTAACACCGGCCTTGCTTAGCAAAGGAAATAGCGCTCCCAATTGTGGTTGTAAGTCGAGGACTACCTGTGAGTCCCCAGAAGGAAGGGGAAAAAAAAAAAAAAGGAAGTACATTTGGGTGCGATGGCAGTTCTTGAGCTGAACACGGACTCTTTAGGAGCGATGATTACTCAATGCTGCAGCTCCAACCTGGTTTCTTCTCCGGGTCTCTCCTCCCTCCCAACCATCTGACGTCGCTGGAACATATGTGGGGCTGCAGCGCTGTTTCCCCCCCCCCCCAAAAAAAACATACAAGGGATTCTCCGAGGACCAGCTTGCTTAAGCAGAGGTCAGGCTGGGGAAGAGAGAGCGTGTGAGCAAGGCTGCAGCCTCCCCACCAGCCCTGTTAACTATCCCTCTGAGATTACAGCTTCCCCATTTTAGCCGCCAGGGTTATTCAAACAGAAGCTCTAAGTTAATCAATCAAAGGCAGGCCTGTTGAATGGGGTGTAATTTGGGGCACATTGTTATGGTAATGGCAGCGGAGCAGCTGGGCTGGAGGACTGATGAGGGACGGGCGGGCAGGGCAAGGATTCCTGTCAACTGGAGGGTGCCATGGTGGAATCCCAGGAAGAGGCACCCTGTTGCCCCTGCCCCCCACCCCCAAATATTGGGCTGCAGCAGGCAGAAATGAATCAATCAGAATAGAGCTGAAAGGGGCCTCGGAGGTCTTCTAGTCCAACCCCCTGCTCAAGCAGGAGGCCCTATACTGTTTCAAACAGATGGCTGCCCAGTCTCTTCTTCAAAGCCTCCAGTGTTGGAGCTCCCACAACTTCTGGAGGCAAGCAGTTCCACTGGTTAATTGTTCTCATTGTTAGGAAGTTTCTCCTTAATCCCAGGTTGCTTCTCTCCTTGATTCGTTTCCATCCGTTGTTTCTTGTCCTGCCTTCGGGTGCTTTGGAAAACACTCTTCTTTGTGGCAGCCCCTCAAATCCTGGAACCCTTCATCGTATCCCGCTTCATCACTGGAGGTTTTAAAGGAAAGGCTGGACAGCTACTGTCTAAAATGGTAGAGGTTCTCCTGACTGAGCAGGGGGTCTGACTAAGCGTGATTTTTGCAGGAAAAGCTAAATAACTTCTCATTTTGGGATTAAGGGATTCCTTCATTCTTCCTGGAAGGCAAAGAGGGGAGAGAGGCCAAGAGCAGCCCAGATACGGTTAAACAAACCGGGGTTCCCCACCATGTGTGCAGTTTTTTCCACCCAGGAGGGATGAGTTAGCTGAAAATCTGGATGGAAGGGGGGTGGGGAAGCAGGAGGAGGAAATTTAGGGGGGGGGGGGCAATGAGGCTACGCCTTTTAATCTGTCAGCACATATGCCCGGATGAAAGGAGCCGAGGAAGGCCGCCCCCCAAAGAAGCTCCGCCATCCGCTGCAGGACTCCCCTCCCACTCTTGTCCGAAGCGTTCCACCACAATCTGCTTTGGGGAAGCCACGGCCAGGTTCCATCTGGCCCTCTGCCCCACATGGCGGCTCCTGCCTCCCTCCTCCACCTCCTCCGTTCCCAAAGCTCAGAATAGAAGGCAACAACGCTTCCTTAAGAATGAAGGCGAATCTACGGGTCCCAGGATAATGTGGCAGGATGATCCAAGCTGGGTCGGTCAGCGGTTCAGACGTTTTGTCTTCCGAGCTTTTGGACTCGTGCTGGAGCCCATCGTCAGAGAACTCCTCTCTGAAGTTCCGGGGGTCCTGATGACCAACCCAGACTGGGTTTTGTAGCAGGCACCACGTTTTGGAAAAGGAGAAGTTGGAATTCTCCAACTTGAAATTTGGAATTCTGAAAAGAGCCATTCACTTTATACTATTAATATACTCTGTTTCCCCGAAAATAAGACATCCCTGGATAATAAGCCCAATCAGGCTTTTGAGCGCATGCACTAAAATAAGCCCTCCCCGAAAATACTTAACCGCATGCACAGCCGGTCCCCGCCATTTCCTCTGGTTAGGGTTAGGGAGAGAGAGCTGGAAATCAGGTAAGACGGCAAGAGGAGCCCCGTCTTGCTCCATGCGCCCCAAAATAATAAGACCTCCCCGAAAATAAGGCCAAGCGCTTATTTCAGGGTTCAAAAAAACATAACAAAGGGTCTTATTTTCAGGGAAACACGGTAATTACAACAAGAAATAACGGATGGAAGCTTAACAAAGAGCAGCCCAATCTAGAAGGAGAACAATTAAACAGTGGAACGTCTTGCCTTCAGAAAGTGTGGGGGCTCCATTGTTTACAAGAATAGACTGGGCCACCATTTGACTGGGATGGAATAAGGCTCCTGCCTTGAGCAGGGGGTTGGACTACAAGACCTCCGAGGTCCCTTCCAACTCTACAGTTCTATCATTCAACTTTGATACTGCTCAGCTCCAACCAACTCTGAAGTCAACCGATGAGTTGTGCCATTTGTGAGCTCGGCGATGCTCAACCTTGGGGCCTCTTAGACGGCTGGACTCCAACTATCAGAATTCTTATCTAAGGGGGCATCAGACTAACCTATCTTATAAGGCAGGGGTCTCCCAACTTGGCAACTTTAAGACTTGTGGATTTCAACTCCCATGGCTGGCTGAGGAATGCTGGGAGGTGGAGTCCACAAGTCTTAGAGTTGCCAAGCTGGGAGACCTCTGCTTTTAAGCAAAGCAAGGAAGAATGTTTGGGGCTCAGAACAACCCCACATGCGGGGCTGATCAGGCCAAGCCGTGGCAGAATCTGCTGCAAAAGGAGAGATGATGCAACCCAAGGATGTCAAGACCCCAAACCGGCTTCCCCAGCTGCCTCTCTCGTCAGAGGGACATCTGGAATGCTCGTGACACGCTTTAGCCACCCTGGGGACGCACCACCCTGGCCCCCTCCAAAGTCTTCATTCTTCCCCATTATCTGAGCACCAGGGACGTTGGCCTCCAGCTATGTGCAAGGGCAGGCAAGGAGGGGGGGGAGGGGGAGACCCTAGATGGTCTGAGGAATGGAGCACTGGCAGGCTGGCTTCCTGTCCTGCAAAGTTCTGCCCCACCGTCTGCTTTTGAAAACGGGCCTGCTGCTTTGGGGAGCAGAAACCCCCTCGCTGTGCAGCCGATGGCAAAAGGAAAGCGATTCCGGTTATTTCTGCCCGCCGCATTAAAGGAATATTCGCTTTTTGAAAAGGTGATTAAGAGCTGAGGGCACCAGGTCACAGCTGCAGCGACCCAGCTTCTGGTTCAAAGAGCTTAATCCCTTCACAGAGTAGTTTCTAGTGCCATTCAGTGGAAGCCGGACCCAACCGAGGGACTTAGATAGTGAAACGTATTGATTAGCTGAAAACAATTTCTCTTTTTGCTCTCAAGAAATGCAGCCAGGATACTAAATTCCACAACTGCAAATAACATGCAGTGAACTTTCCCGTTGTGTTTTCCTTGGATAAAGGTGGCAACTCCAGATTTACTTCTGCAATCCCTTCGCTCCCATTCTTCACCCTTAAATCAACCTTTGTCCGGAGCCCATCAAGGAAATTTTCAAAACCCTGGTCTTGTCTACTTACCGTCATCAAATTCATCAGGGATCTGGGAAAAAAAAAAGAGAGAGAGAGAAAGAGAGAAAACATTGTCTGTGGAGATTCTCAGTCATCCAGGTCCCAGTTGTCCCAAAGGTGCTTTTGAGAGAAAACGGTGTGTTTATTTTGATTCCAAGGGTCCACTGCATACCCCAAAATGGGGGCTGAGGGGGGAACAACAGACACACAGCAACACACGTGTCTACCTGTTTATTTGTACCCCACCTTCATTTTTACAAATAACTCAAGGAGGTGAACATATCTAATACTCCTTCCTCCTCCATAACAACCCTGGGAGGTGGGTTGGGCCAGGTTACCCAGCTGGTTTTCATGACTAAGGCGGGACTAGAACTCCCAATCACCTGGTGACTAGCCCAAAGTCACCTAGCTGGCTTCCATAGCTGAGGCAGGACTAGAACTCACCATCTCCTGATAATTGGCCCAAAGTCACCCAGCTAGCTTTCATGCCTAAGGTGGGGCTAGAACTCACCACCTCCCAAAACCACCCAGCCGGCCTTTGTGCCTAAAGTGGGACTAGAACTCTCCATCTCCTAGTGATTGTCCAAAGTTGCCCAGCTGGCTTTCATGCCTAAGACTGGACTAAAACTCCCTGCCTCCTAGTTTCTAGCCTGGTGCCTTCAGCACTAAACCAAACTGGCCCTACAGCTGCCTTCTCCAACCGATGTGCTCCGATTTAACTGCCCTCCCCACACCATGAGGGAAGTCAGTTGGGAAAGACTGGCTCAGGGTGGCGGTACTCAGGGTTGAGCGAGGCAGGCCCATTTTCTTCCTTTCGTGTTTACAAAACGTTCCTGGGGGGTAGCATCGGGCTGCGACTTCGAGTTCAGACTGATCAGGCAAAGAGGTCAGCGGAAGACCGGCCAGGTCAAACCAGATGGCAGGAAGGAAGATGGGAGGAGGAAGGACATGGTTAATTTGGGGATAGTTTTACTCCCATGCCCAGTGCCATTCCAGAAGCAGGAACTTTTAAAGGAAAGAAAAAGAAAAGAAAAGAAATCCAGGATATGATGGAGACTCAGACACTGAGTGGATAGAGGTAAACAATGCCTTGGTGTAACACAGGAATTCGCAACAAGAGAGCTCGTCTTTTTTTTTTTGTTTTTTTGTTCTCCAGGACTCTTTGGAAACAGATGAATGTATGAAAGGTGAATGTGTGAATGCATGAAGAGAGGGAATAAAACTTTAAGGCAGAGGCATCCACTTTAAGACTTGTGGACTTCAACTCCCAGAATTCCTTAGCCAGCATAGCTTCTGGGAATTAAAATCCACACAGTCCTTGCTCCAGTGTTCCTGCAGATGCTGTACAGGGAGTCCTCGACTTACAACAGTTCATTTAGTGATGGTTCAAAGTCATAATGGCACTGAAAAAAGTGACTCATGACATTTTTCACACTTATGACTGTCGCAGCATCCCTGTGGTCACGAGATCAAAATTCGGGTGCTCGGCAACTGACTCGTATTTATGACGGTTGCAGTGTCCCCGAGGTCACGTGAGCCACTTTTGTGACCTTCTGACCAGCAGAATCAAGGGAGAAGCCAGGTTCACTTAACAACTGCAGTAACTCTGCATTAATTACTATTAATTACTAATTAATGACTCTGGCAAGAAAGGGTATAAAAAGGGGCAAAATTTACTTGACTAATGTTTCACTTAGCAACAGAAATTTTGGGTTCTATTGTGGCCGTAAGCCAAGGACTACCTGAACTGAATGCTCTGGGGAAAAAGAAATAGTTTGTCCAGGTGAGTTCTGACGTCAGGCAGGTGACAGGGTGCCCCTGAGCAGCCCCTCTTAGAGACCCACTGGTGAGCAAGGTGAGGAGGCCTGGGGCAGCTGTGAGTGTTGTAGCTCAGAGTCTTGGGCTTCACAATCTGCCAAAGGGACAACAAGGATTTCGGTCACCGAATGCCCTCACAAGCGGCCCTGGGGAAGGACCAAGGACGTGTCCAGTCAGAGCAAGGGGCCGTAGCCATCTTCCTTGAGAAGCAAGCAACCCCTTTTGCGCCGTTAAAAAAAAACAAAAAACCTTGGGTGTTTGCAGAAGCCATGAGTTTTGGTGCACCAGCCAAATGGCCTTCACACCTCCGAACTGGATGGTTGTGGCAAAGGGGTAGGAAGCAGCTCTTCTGAGTCCCCAGGCAGCAAGCGGAGATCCTGCAGGACCTTCGGCCTCAGACCCTCCAGAGTCAAAGCAGCTTTGATAGGGTAATGCTCGATCTAGGAGCCTCCTTCAATATGCTGTACCACCTTCATTAGCCTTGAGACAAACCCTAATGGAAACTATTGAAGGAGAGAAGCCCCCTGAAAGGAAGGAGGAAATTCCTGGCAAGACAACCAGTGGAACTGCCTGCCTCCAGAAACTGTGGCTGCTCCATCACTGGAGGTTTTTAAGAAGAGACCAGACAGTCACTTATCTGAAATGGTATAGGTGCTCCTGCTAGGGCAGGGGGCTGGACTAGAAGACCTCCAAGGTCCCTTCCAGCTCTATTCTATTCAATATCACTTCTTTTTCCTAGCCTGCCTTAAACTGAAAGCTGATTTTTGTGTTCAGATTAAAATTTAAGGCTAAGAATAAGAGCTGCTCATGAATTCTGGTCTCAAATCCCCAAAGGTCCAAAACCTGCCGAAACAGAAGTAGTTTGGATTTCTTACCACCAGAGCCTAAATGGTTAATGGCACTTACATGGCCAGCAACCAAATCGCAGTCACCAAACAATACACAACTAAAAAGGGCAAAATGAAAGCAAGCAAGCAACAGCCACCATAATAAACGGATGACATCATTCCATTCTTCCCAGCCTGTCCCAAACAATTCAAGTTTCAAAAGGCTTACGGAAAGCCAGGAGCAGGGGGCCAATCTTGTTGCAAGGTGGGGCCTGGATGCAATCCCACTGTAGAGGACCCCTTCTGAGGATCAGCACCTGCAAAACTCAGCCCCACCAAAGTGGGGGACCAAAAGCAGGGCTCACCAACCTTGGCAAGTTTAAGACTTATGGACTTCCATTCCCAGAATTCCCCAGCCAGCACAGCACAGCTGTCAGTTGAAGTTCACAAGTCTTAAAGTTGCTGGATGGGGAATTCTGGGAGTGGAAGTCCACAAGTCTTAAAGTTGCCAAGGTTGGAGACCCCTGCTCAAGAGGAATGAACAAGTGGGGGAGCAGGAAGAAGAGGCACAAGGTTGTTTTAAAAAATGGGCAACCCTTTTTATAACAGGCCTGGATCCCCCATTTCTCTTACTGATTTCAAACACCGCAAAGGTTTTACATGCTCTCGCCCTACCCACAACGACTGCGTTATTTCCTTTACTATTTTACAACTGAGCGTGGCACGATTTGATTCCGATTCAAAGGAAGCAAGAACCAAAAGGGGAAAAAGATGACGGAGGGGTGGCCGGTTTGTTAAGCAGCATTGTGCAAGTATAAATTCAAACTGTCCAAAGCCAACTCGGAAGGTGCTGCATTTCAGTTTTGCGAAGTCTGTTCTCTTTGGGTCAAAATGATCCCACTCTAATATTCTGAAATAAGGCCGAACTAGTTCTCTCTCCCCAGAGAAGACTCGTTGGCCAATGCAGTCTTTCAACTCTGCCGGTTTTTGAAAGCACCAGCTGTTTGAGCCCCAAAGAATCACCCAGACAAAGTGACAATAGGTCTTAATAGATCTTAAAACAACAATTGTCCCTCCCCACACCCCCATCCGATCGTGCATGAGTGCGTGAATACAGAGCCATCCTACCAGGACAGCAAGAAGTTGATTCTTTTCAGCTACAGGTGCAGAAGGAAAGCAGCTGTTGGCTTAAACGGCAAAACCCTTTCAAGAAATCCTGATGGGTTCTAAAACTCCTCCGCTCCAACCCCGGCTGGGCTAGGATCAATCCCACGGCAGATACTTTTTACAAAAAGACAGGGCGGTGGTTTTAATCATCTCGGGGTCTACCTTTCCAAATGCTCCTGGACCGAAGGCTGCGTGAAACCGAGCTAATCCCTGGCTGAGGGACACACGCCAGCTCACGAGCCATTGTTCTGTTTTACTTCTTTGGCCGCGAAATTTGGGATTATGTAAAGTGAGGCGGAAGGAAGAGGCCAAGTCGAAGAGATTGTAAACTGCACCAGTAAGAACCCGAGGCCTGATCTGCTTTGTTCCAGGCAACGGAGTGTCAACTTGACAGGGCAGGAAACTGAGGCTGACAATGGAGAACAGGCAGTGTCCTACCACACAATGGCAGCTGCCTGGGGGTCTCTTCCCCTCCCACCCTCCTTAACCAAATCCAGCCACCGCTGCCAGATTTACCCAACTGACCGTATCAAATGATGGATTCATCTGCAAACTTGTTAACCGGAGGAAATGTCGAGTTGCTACAGAGATGCCGTCTCGAGGGAAGCCGGGGCACTCGATTGGGTGAGAATTTAAGATTCCCAATTTCTCTGCTCGTCTAAAGCCAGAAAGACTCGCAAAAGGACCATGCGGGGACTCCTCGACTTACAACCATTTGTTTAGGGAGCACTGAAAAAAGGGACTTGGGACCGTTTTTCACACTGATGACCGTGGCAGCTTCCCTGTGGCCAGGTGGTCTGGAATGCAGGATCCGTGCAGGGACACTGGGCCACAACCAGCATGGGATTCCATGCACCTGAGAAGTATTTAAACAGAAAAAAATGGCTCTTTCCCTGCAAATACGGAGCCCTGGAAGCCACGGCATTGTCTGTCCCCACTGCCCTCCTAACCAGCACACAGGACCCAACCGGATAAAATGGTTTCCCTGTGTGACTATGTGGATTGGGAAGCCCAGAGAGGCCTGGTTGAATTCAGGAGGGAGGCAGCCGGGTGTAAGGTGAATATTACTGATATGGCAAATCTCTGCAATTCTCTGCTTTCTACCAACATTTCAGTCAGAATTTTGAAGCTCAAGGGCACCACCTTGAGAGGAAGGGCTGGGACACCTACATGCTTTAGACACTGCAGTCCTCCCTTCAGAGGACCATATCTGGTAAAC